AAAAACTCTACTCCCAATGACATGCCTCTCACACATGTGCTGAGATCATACAAGATTCTTTGGTGCATATTAACACCAGAGATAACTTTGTTCAATGATTCTCTGAGCATCACATCAACTAAACCAGGGGAAAAGCACACTTGTCAAAAGTGCCCATCACCAAGGTTATAGAGGATATCATAAAGTTCAAATGGAATCAAGAAATCCCCATTATACACAGAGGTCCTCCAAATGCTCCTGTTTGCCAATGATATTGTTCTGATTACACTGAGCTCCAGAACCCTATAGGCTTCCTCAACAAAACACTGATTTTGCAAGGTGGAAGAGAACTTAGTAACTAACCATTTGATCAATCCCAGGAATGAAAGGAACCCCGCCATTACATATCTGATAAACAGTCATCCAGCATCTCCTCAAAGACCCCTGAGGAAGAGGAACTCCTCCCCGCCTCCAAGCAGTCTGTTCCACTTTTGGATAGCTCTAATTGTTAGAAATTTTCTTCTGAACAGAAAGCCCAAATTGCTTCTTTGTAACTTCCTCTTACCACTTGAGGTCTTGCCCAAGTAGAACAATCTCTCCTCCAAATGACAACCCTTTGAATATGGATACCTAAATGTCTCCCTCGAGCTTTCTTTTCTCTGGGCTAAACATGCCAACTTCTTTCAACCATTCTGTATGACATAGACTCAAGGCCCTTTTCCATCCTGGTTATATTCCTCAGAACATTCTCCAGTTTATCAGTGACTTTCTTAAACTATGGTGCCCAGGATTAAATATGAAAGTCTGCCAAGGGCAGAATACAATGGGACTATCACTTCCCCATTCCTAAGAGATAATATGTCTCTTTATACAGACCAAAATCATGTTAATTCCTTTGACTGTCACATTGTACTACTCACTCATACTGAGCTTGTAAAACCTACAGATCTTTTTCAGAATAACTCTCTAACCATGCCTCCCCAATCTTGTACTTGTGAAGTTGATTTGTTTTGTACCCAAGGGCAAAATTTTACTTTTATCCCTATTGCATTTCATTTTATTAGACTCAGACCACTGTTTTGACCTGTTACGAACTATTTGGATCCTAGCTCTGTCCCCGAAAATATCAGCTTGGTCATTCATGCCAGAAAATTTGAGAGTATAAAGACTTCATTCTGCCAAGACCGTGACAGGCAGTTGAGTTTATTTCTTGGTAACCTGTCCTGTTAGTTTTGTTTTGACAGAACCTTGTTTGTGTGTTTCTGTTCCATTAGCAGAAAAGTTTATTTCACACCATTAAACAATTTTGTAGTACTGTATATCATACCTTCCTACATCATTCATTACTCAGAACAGTTTTTTCCCATGAATAGAAGGTGTAAAGAAAGTATGCTGACTCATCGTTGTCAGTTTCACTTCAATTGGGGGCAGAGGCATCTCTAAAGAAAAGAGAAGTAATAGAACTCTCCATATTTATTTATAAATTATATATGTGTACTACTATACTAACATATTATGTACATTACCAAACACACACAAAAAGAACTTTCAAAAAGATGAGATAAAGATGAAATAAATGATATTTTAAAATAATTGTATTTTTATTAACAATATAAAAACTTTTATGTTCACTAAAATTTATAACACTTTTCAGTGAGGACAATTTGAATATTCTGTCTCATTTTTGAAAACTGCTTAATATTGTATGATACAAAGATTCAATGGTCTGATTTTTTTTTTTTTGCAATTGGGGTTAAGTGACTTGCCCACAGTTACACAGTTGGTAAGGGTCAAGTGTTTGGTCTGACGCCGGATTGGAACTCAGGTCCTCCTGACTTCAGGGCTCGTGCTCTATCCACTGCACCACCTAGCTCCCCTCAATGATCTGATTCTAAGCTCCATTTATTTCAGTACTTGGTTTCAATGGCTACTTTAGGCAAAAAAGATGCATAGATTCAAATGGATAAAGTATAACATTGTCTGCCCTTATTAAATTGAAATATTCCATTTTTCAACTCCATCCACAATTGTGCTAAGGTTTTCCTTGAAATTTGGCTAGTGTATTTCTATCTTCCTTGATGTTGGGGTGAGAACATGGAGAACAGTCCAGGCAGTCATCCAGAAGCTTGATTGAGGAACTGATGGCTTGGGACACAGTGGGCGTATGTTGCTGCCCCAGATGGGGTGGGGAGGCTCCAAGGACAGGTTCCTCATAAGGGGCCAGGCAGGAATGACTCCCTCCCCTCTTATATGTACCTGGGAAGGAGCATGTAAGAAGACTGTCCAACAGCCCATACTGGCACAGGCAGGTAGAAAGGGAACCCCAAAGGCAAGCAAGGACTGACTAGGTGTGCTATTCTCCTCAGTTGTCATATTTTTTATTTACCCATTGGTGTGTATGACCCCACTTTGGAGAAAACAGCAACAGCTTGAGGGTCACCGGATTTCAGTTTGGAGGCCTGCGTGCAGCCCTCATTTCTGATACTTTACTAGCTGTGTGACCACAAGCAAGTCACTCCATGTTTCAAGTTTTTAAAAATGTTTTATCGATGCACTTTTCCTTCTTCTTTTTTCTTTAACATCTCTGTCACTAGGCACTATCATCTCTGACCAACAAATAGAAGTCCTCCCTCATAACAAACAAGTATAGTCAAGGAAAATAAACTAAAACATTGGCCATATCTGAAAACCTTCTGTGGCCTCATCTGTAAAATGGAACATTTTACAATCAGGGATATTGTCCAAAAAGTGACTTATCTTAAAACTACAGAAATGTGAGTTATTTTTTTTAGCATGACTATTACTCACAACCTCTGCTTAAGTGAAATAGTCTCCAGGCTTTCTTTTCCAATGCTTCCTCCTTCCAATCTCTCAAATTTGAAAAGAAAAAACACTGTTATTAGCTCCTTCACACTAAGATTTAAATGCCTACTATTATCTGTCTTGGATAAGTGGGAAAAGTCACACAGCTACTAAGTATCTGAGGCCAGATTTGAACTCAGGAAAGATGAATCCTCTTGACTCCAGGCCTGACACTCTATGCACTATGCCACCTAGTCAGGAAAACCTGAGTTCAAATCTAGACTGAGACACTTCAAGCTGTGTGACCCCAGGCAAATCACTAACTTCTGTCTGCCTCAGTTCTCTCTCTCTCTCTCTCTCTCTCTCTCTCTCTCTCTCTCTCTCTTTAATAATAAGACTAATTTCCTATTTATTTATTTAGTTAATTTATTTTGATTTATCAACAATCACTTCCATATGTTTTTGAGTTTAAAATTTTTCTCCCCCTTCCTCCCCACCACCCTCCCCAAGACGGCGCACAATCTGACATAGGCTATACATTTACATTCCTATTAAACGTGTTTTCACATTAGTGATGTTGTAAGTAAAAATTAAAACCAATAGGAGGAATCATCAGAAAGAGGAAACAAAACTCAACAGAAGAGAAAAAAATAGCAATTCAACTTTCATAGTTCTTTCTTTGGATATGGATAGTATTTTCCATCACGAGGCCTCTGGAGATGTCTTAGATCCTTGTATTGCTGAGAAGGGTTAAGATTATCAATCTCAGTTTTCTCTTTTGTAAAATGGGGTTGATAATAGCAGTTACCTCCTAGGGTTGTAGTGATGACCAAATAACATTTATTTATAAAGTACTTTGCTAATCTTAAAAGGATTGTATAGGGGAAGGTGGTATAGAGGAAAGTTACTGGCTTTAGAATCAAGAGGACCTAGGTTCAAGGCCTAACTCTGGCGTTTTAGGTCATGTGTGACATTGGGCAAGTCATTTCTTTTCTTGGGTCCTCTGTTTTCTCATCTGTCAAACGAGAGGTAATTTATAAAGTGTTTAATCTACTTAATAAATGAATTTGAATGACTCAGATAGGAAAGATGCCATGCTGTGGAGATAGGGGAATGGGAGGAAATAGGAAAAGTGTAACCGTCAGGGTATGGTACGGGGAAATTACATTATGTCTGCTTCATATTTGTTAATCTGTGTCCGCTTGCCTTGCCCACTGTCCAAACTTACACAAGAAAGGCAACAGCTGGAGAGCCCGAGGAATCCTGACGGTCAGGAATACCTGAGTTTATATTTTGCTTCTGTCAGATTGGCTTATTTGCTGCGTTACCGGGGTCAAATCGTTTTAACTTCCAGGTTCTCCAAATTGCCAAGCATTGATAGATGGAGTTCCCCATGACTCTATGATGTGCATGTTCCTTGTCTCCCACCCAACTTAGACATTTTAAGGGCAGGGACTGATTTATTTTAGTCTATTTCAAGCACCCAACATAACACCTTATGACATTGTGTGTTTGATCTCATCAGTATAAGGAATTACCCACAATAATGCAATTGTCAGAATTGGCAACCTCTCTGTAATTTAGCAATTCTCTAAAAGCACTTAGAGGTTACTGAGTCAGCATATTCATATTTGTGTGATTTGCCCAAGGTCAGACAACCAGTATGTGTCAGGCAGAATTTCCACTTCCAAGGTTGACCCTCAATTCACTAAACTATACTGCCTTTGGCTTTGTACAGAGTGGGTGCTTAATGCTTCCTAAATGGAGGGCAGCTAGGTGGCACAGTGGATAGAACACTGGGCCTGGATTCAGGAGGACCCGAGTTCAAATCTGGCCTCAGACACATAACACTTACTAGCTGTGTGACTCTGGGCAAGTCACTGAACTCCAATTGCCTCACCAAAAAACAAAAATGCTTCCTAAATGGAATTGAATTACTCTAGTTCAGCAAAGTATTCTGGGAAATAGGAGCCTCTCATTTGGATTGGAAAGGAAAACCTTCAGTATCACCCTCCACTCTTCCCACAGTGAATCAATAATAAATCTCTCATCTGCCCCCTCTTTACCTTCCCCAAGTGATTTGTTTAAGAGTCATTCCTCTGCTTCTGCGACTGGGAAAATCATTGACTCACAAGGTATAATGATTCACAGTCAGAGCGAGCAGCACAAAAAAACGACAGCGATTGATGGTGATTTTTCTGTGCTTGTCTCTCTTTCAGACCCAAGAAGCAAAATGTTCTTCCTTCTCTCATTTCTGATTGTGGGAATGAAGCTCCGCCTGATAACAGGTAACAATAACAACACCAACACCATCTCTGTGAAGCAGGTAGCACAAGTGTTATTGTCCAGGTTAGCTAGAGCACATGGTCAGGAGTCCCAAACCACTGGTGAGCCCAGGATCTTTGCATGATGAAGGTGAGCACAAGGATAGTGGAACACTTCCACTATCCAGGCCATCAAGGAACATATGAATGAATCAGGGACTCTTCCACTCAACAAAGGTCCTGAAAGCCTCCATAGAGAGTTGCTCTCTCTCCCCCTCCTTCTACAAAGAGCCTCATATTTAGGATTAGATACTGCAGTTCAAGCTAAATTTTTCCAAAGGGATTTTTTTTTATTTGCAAATGTTAATTTATCTCACTGACATGTGCATTTGAATTAAAAACATTTTGTTTTAATACCATGATAGAGTTATTAGCAAGGCAGCTGGATGATATAGTAGATAGAGTGCTGGTCCTGCAATCAGAAAGACCTAAATTAAAATCTAGCCTCAGACACTTGCTAGCTCTAAGTCACTTGACACTGCCTGACTCAGTTTCTCCATCTGTAAAATGGGGATAATAATACCACCTACCTCCAGGATTGTTGTGATGCTCAAATGTGGAAATGTACATAAATCACTTCATAAACCTTAAAGTAATGTTAGCTTTTGTTATTATTATTAATATTCTCCCCCCTAATCTTTTTTCAAAAAAGTTCATAGAATGTTAGAGTTGCAAAGTACTTCGGAGAGCTAGTCCAACCACCTGATTTTACAAATGAGAAAACTGAGGCCCAGAAAAGGGAAGTGAGTTGCCGATGGGTTTGCTGTCTCTTCTCTCTCTCCAAGAGAAGGTGGGATTTCCAGGCAGTGTACTGAGTTAGGTGACCTGAGCACTCCTGAAATCATGTTGAGGTTGGGATGCCCAGTCTGAATCACCTTGCTTAGTATGAAGGTCTCAACCCTTCACTCTACAACCATTGCCCTCTTCTTTCTTCAAAGTCAATTTGATTGTGTATTGATTTAGCTGACATGCTTCTCAGGGGCCCAGGGCAAGTTAAGAAATTATTGCCACATTGCTACTAAAGGATGACATCAGTATGAGCATTGGGCAATGAACAGATAATAATAACAACAATAATATCCAGCTAACATTATGTAAAATGCTATTAATACGGCATTTTTCAAATATCTCATTTTATCTTCACAACAACCCTGGTGCTATTATTATTATCATCCCCATTTTAGAGATGAGAAAACTGAGGCAGGCAGAGGTTAAGTTACTTACCTTCAGTTGCAAAGTAGGTGTCAGAGGCTGGATTCAAATTCAGGTCTTTTTGACTCCAGGTTCAGCACTCTATTTACTGTGCCATCTAGCTGTCCCTATATGCAGGAATATGTTTCATCTGCCATGTAGACATTCCCAAGTCCCAGAACTCCTGAACCCTAGGCTACATGGAGTTCATCAGAATTTTCACCAATCTTGGAGCCCTTGGCTGAAGTGACCCAAGGAATTATTGTCCGTCACTATAGGATTTTTATTCAATAAGCTGCATAATTCAGTGATTTGTTTGTAGTTTCCTGAAATTGTTATAACTGCTAACTCAGAGCTATGCCACACTGCAAAAATGCAAAACTTCACACTTCTCAGAAAGCCTTTAGTGGCATTCCTCAAGCCCCTGGCTCTGCTAACAGAAGAATACATAGGGATAAGTTTTCTTTGCACAAAATCAAAGGCAAGGTCTGATGTGAGAGGAAAATCCACATTAAATCTGAGTAAAGAGATTCTGGATTTTTTCTATTCCAATCTGTAACAGACAGTGCAACACGGCTGTATCCATCAATGGGCATTTAGTAGGAATATTTGAATAAAGCTTCCTTTCATAACTACTTGGCACTCAGAAGTGATATCAAAATAGCTAGCTTCTCTTCAAACAAAGCATAAGACAGTCAGTCAACAACTGTTTATTAAGTGTCTATTATGTTATGGTGACCATGTTAAGTGCTGGGGATTCAAAGAAAGGCAGATGTATGTACATTCATATATACATTCGTGTGTGTGTATATGAGAAAGAGAGAGAGCACACACATAGCATAGCACAGCAGAATTCTTGGCACAAAGCAGGTACTTAATAAATATTTGCTGATTCATTAATAGATATGCACAATAGAATCTCAGTACTTCCATTTCTCTAACACTGAGTAGTTTACAAAATACTTTTCACATATCATTCCTATGAGATTGATGGTGCAAATATTATTATTTCCATAATACAGATGAAGTTGAAGTGATTAATCTATGCTCACACAGGCAGTAAGTATCAGTAGTGGCATTTGAACCTGGAGTATTTCTTACTGGAATTTCTGATGCCCTTTCACATACACGCGTACGTATACACACACAGAGACACACAGACACACACACACATATAATTGAGTATGCTGTTCATACCAATAGGGGCAGCTAGGGGCCACATGGACAGAGAGCACTGGGCTTGGAATCAGGAAGAGTCATTTTCATGAGTTCAAACCCAATGCCTTCAGACACTTACTAGCTATGTGACCCTTCATTTGTAAAGTGAGCTAGAGAAGGCAATGGCAAACCACTCCAGTATCTTTGTCAAGAAAACCCCAAATGGGGTCATGGAGAGTTGGATGCAACTGAAAAAAACTGAACAACAACATTCATACCAATGCATATTAACAGCTTTGTGACATTTGCATTTGAATATGTTTGTATATTTATACATAATGGTATGATCCTAATCTCTAAAATAAAGATTATAGTTGCACACTTACCTTACAACACAGAGTTGTTGTGAGAAAAGTGGTTTCTAGGCTACAAAGCACTACAGAAATGGGAGTTATAATTATGTTTTTGGTTAATAACTTCATGTATTTCATTTCTACCAAGGCTTCTATCAACCAGGTTAACTGTTTGTATGAGGCTCTTTGCTTTAATGCATAACCAGGAGTAAATTTAACTGTATTTGGAGTTCCCCAGTGTATTTTTAGTTCACATAAGGGAGCTAAGTTCATAAATCACTTTTATTTGCAAGCAGCTTTTACCACTTCAATAATTCAATTCAAAAAACATCAAAGAAGAACCAAAAATGTTCCAATACTGTGCTAGATTCTTTTATTACAAAGATATAAATATTGGCAGCCATTGCCCTCAACAAGGTTACATTTTGGTGGGATATAAGGGTACACATTTAAATAAATACAGAGCAATTTGGGAAGGAAGAGAGCACTAACAAATGCAGAGAATTAGAAAGGTTTTATTGAGGAGGTAAAACTGAGCTGAGCCTACAGGAAGAAGATTCCGAGAGTCAGGTCTCAGGAAGTAGTGTATTCCAGGTATAATGGACAGTTTGTGAAAATGGATTGCAGGGAAAGATGGCATGTCAAGTTTGAGTTTGATAGTCCAGTTTGATTATTACATACTGGGGGAAGGGGAAGAGTGAAGGGGCATAATGTGAAATAAGGCTGGAAAGGTAGGACAGCCAGATTTTGATGAACTTTTTATGCCAGACTGAGAAGTTTGCATTTTATCTTAAAGGCAATAGTGAGCCAATGAAAGTTTTGGAGAAGTGGAATTTGATAACTGAACCCTAATCACTCCAACAAATCTTTAGCCTTCATTCATTTAGCCAATCACTCTGCATTCAATCAAAAACCCTTAATGAACACTTACTAAGTACATCCTCCCAATCAACCAGTCTAGTAATCAATGTAGGTGTCATTATGGACTCCTCACTCTCTTTCACATTCACTTTGGGAAATGTGGTGGTATCTTGGGAAGATGATTTTGGCAGTTGTGTGGAAGAAGGTTGGGAAAAGGATGAGTTTGGAAGCAGAGAGATCAATTGAAAGGTTATTGCCATAGTCCAAGAAAGAGATGAAAACTTGAATTAATTGGTGGTCCTGTGAATAGAGAAAAGGCAACAATGGTGAGAAATGTTATGTTTAACAGGAATTTGCAATGAATTAGATAGGTGAAGTAAAAGAGAGAGGAAAATCAAAGATAAGACTGAAGTTATAAAATGAGGTAAGTGGGAGGATTGTAGTGCCTTAAACAGAAATAGGGAAGTTCAGAGAAGGTTCAGGTTTATGGGAGAAGATAATGAGAAGAGTTTTGGATATACTGAGTTTTAGATGATGATGAGACATCCAGATATTCACCAGGCAGGACTGGAGAGATAAGGACTGAGTATATTAGGATTTGGGAGTCATCTGCATTGAAATAATAATTGCATCTAGCTGACTGATATCTACTTTCTAAGATATTTATTAATATGCCATTATATCTGTGAAAAATAATTCATTTATACCCTTATTCTATTTCAGTCAGTTATCAATCAATTTGACATGATTCTATAGAAATAGTGATTATAAATTCTATATATCAGGTCCCCAAGCTGTGAGCTACAGATTATAAGATCACTTGTGTAATTATAGGAAGCTAGCTAGAGGGGCTCCATCCTTGTTTTAGCTTGTCATGGTGACCAAGCCCAGTGTGATGGAGGTGACTCAATTACATGGAAAGTCCTCCAACTTATTTTTGGACTTATGCACCATTCTCTTTTGTCCAAATTGAGCAAGTGACCATCTTACGACCATTTAGTCAGTGGAGATGCCCCATGCTTCACCTAATCTGTGGAACCCCCTCCCCTGCTGATATGTTATTTTTATCCCTCAAGAGCAAAGTCTACCAGCCAATGAGATTCTGTATTTTACCACACCTTTTTTTTTTTTTTTGCATATTGGGGTATCAAACTCTATAAATACAAAGTCCTGGAAGAAGGGGGCATCTCAGATCATGTGAAAGATCTGAGGTCCACTTCATTAGAGGGGACCATGGACAACTTAATAAAGTGCCATTGACTAAAAACAAAAAAAGAAATAATAACTGAATCCATGGACAGGATGACATCACTAGTGGAAGGAACAAGTATAGAATAACAGGAGAAGAAAACCTAGGACAGAGCTTCAGGAAACACACATACTTGAAAAGGGGAGGGCTTTAGTTTAAAAACTTTTTTCTAGACTTGCAACTCAATATCTGGTAAAGTCAGTCAATCGGCTAGCATTTATTAGGCACTTACTATTTTCCAGGAACTGTGCTAAGCAATGGGGATACAAAAAAAAAAGGCAAAAGACAGTCCCTGCTTATAGTCTAATGGGGGAGACCAACATCCAAACAATTATGTACAAACTATACGTGTGTGTGTACACACACACACACACACACACACGTTATACAGGGGGAAAGCACTAGAATTAAGGGGTGGTCAGGAAGGGCTAATTGCAGACTGTGGGAATTTATCCAAGACTCAAAAGAATCCAGAAAAGCTAGGAGGTAGAGATGAAGAGGGAGAGAGTTCCAGGCGTGGGGGACAGCCAGCACAAATGCGCAGTCTGGAAATGAAGTGACACTGGATCACAGCTTACCTGCTGGGGTGTAAGGTGTAAGAAGACTGCAGAGGCAGGAACGGGGCAGGTTATAGAGATCTTTATAAACTAAACAGAGGATTTCATATTTGATCCAGAAGGCAATAATAAGCCACTGGAAATAATTGAATGGGGTATGGGTGTGGGTGGGGACTATGACATAGTCATACTTGCACTTTTGAAAGATCAATTTGACAACTTAGTGGAAGATGGACTGGAGTGAGGGGAAACTTGAGGCAGGGAAAACTAACAACAGGTTATTAAAATAATCCAGGTGCAAGTGGATGGAGGCCTGCACTAGGGTTAGCACTGCCCTGGTAGCAGCATCACAGAAAAAGAGAAGACAGTGTATATGGGAGATGTTAAGAAGATAGAAATGAGAGGACTTGGCCACTCATTGGATATGGAGGGTGACAGAGAGTGAAGTATCCTGAGAAACACTAACATTACTAACCTGGGTGACTGGGAAGGTGGTGCACCTCGCCCCAACCAGATGTTCACAGAGGGTTTTTTGATTGAATGAATAAATGATTGGGGTAATGGATGAAGACTAAAGACTGCTGAAATGATTAGCATTCAGTTATTAGAGCTTCATGGAAAGCCTCCCAACAAGGACCATGGGTCCACACATCTACAGCTGTGAGGGAAATAGGAAGTCATCTAGTCCAAACACTCATTTTATAGATGAGGAAACTTAGAGCAAAGGAGGTTAAATAATTTGCCCGAAGTCCCACAGGTAGGAAGTATAAGAGGTAAGATTTTAACCAGATCCTCTTATTTAAAAAGCAGTGTTTTTTCCACAATTCTATAGGAGGTTTAATTTGACATGAGACATAATTAGGAAAGAGCCCCACTACAGGATCTTAAAAAGGAGGTAGCTTGATAAATAGTGTTTGATGAAGATGATTTTTGATTGACTGTACTGAAAAGGAAGTGGAAACAAGGATAGTTGTGTTAGCCCAGGTGTAGAATGTTTAGGGACATAAGAAAGGGCACTGATAGTGTATCCAAGAAATAATGCAAAAGGAAGAGTTGCTGATACATGGAATGAGAGGAGGCAAAAGAAAGAGGAGCCTCAGATGAAGTTATGAGGCCACAGATTACACATTTAAAGACTGTAACACTCAGAAGCATCCTTAGAGACCATCTAGCCCAAACCTTTCATTTTACAGAAACATCTGAGGTAGGGGAAGAGACAATCATTAATGTTATACCAATAGTGACAGAGTCTCTTGATTTCTATTCAAGTGATCTGTTCACTGTACCAGGCAATCCATGGGGATGATATAGGGCTAGCCTTTTTTGTCCCAACTAAGACAAAATTGGGGTCTGTGGGCAGGTAATGCCATGGTAATTTTGTTTTGTTTTCCCCCCATAGGTTTATTTACAGTGACTGTTCCCAAGGAACTGTATATAGCAGACTTTGGAAGCAATGTGACAATGGAGTGTAACTTTGACGCTGGTAGACAAGTGGAAATTGACGCATTAAGAGTCACTTGGGCAAAGGATGAAAGGAAAATTGTGAATTTTTCTAGTAAAAAGGAAGACCTGGAAATTCTCAGTGAGCACAGTGGAAGAAGAATGACGTTGTTAGAGGACCAGCTGTCCCTCAGGAAAGCCTTGCTTCACATTAGGGATGTCCAAATAATGGATGCTGGCCAGTACCACTGCCTGATTCTCTATAGGGATGCCGCTGACTACAAGTACGTCACTCTGCAAGTAAAAGGTTGGTTATCTTGTAAGGGTGCGTGAACATATATGAAGGTGGGTGACAACGTGTAAGGATAAAAGGGTGAATAAAGGTATCTTCCAGAATGTGTGAGATCCATTGAATCTTGGACACAAAGGATTCCAGTTCTGGGCTTGATCAGACTTGGTTCCATTCCTGAGGAGACCTGACCCCAAACAGAGGGAGGCAGACATTTTCTTTGTATTTTCTGGTTCGTCCTCCTAGAAGAGGTAATCTTTTTCTCCACAAAGGCTATAGTTACAGGGAACACTTTCCAATGTTAAGCAGGCAGCATCCAAACCAATGACTATACCTCTGGAGCTCATGAGGCAGCTACCAAATCTGAAAGCAGTAATCTCTTGGAATCATTGTTTGATGACCTGTGTTCAAGGAAAGAAACACAAAGCAAAAGAGGCATCCAAGAATTTGAGGTCTCATCTCAGGCTCACCTAAGCAAGCATCTCTTCTCATGACCATGCATGCGGCTGCCATAGCTACTGCTGGGGTGAGAGATGAGAAAAAGACTCTTCCCCATCTCCTCCATGAGGCCTTTCCTGGTCCTCCCAATTATTTAGTGCCCTCATCCCCAAATGACACTGAATTTACCTTACATATATATATATTTTGTATTGATTTATCTGTGTTTATTTTGCTCCCCCCAGGAGACCCTAAACTTCTTAATGGAAAAAACTCTTTTGTCTTTGTACCTCCAGTGCCTAACACAATGACAGGCACTTACTAGGTCTTTGGTAAATGTTTCTGATTCACTTAAGCTGTCCAACAGTGAAAGAGGCTACCCCCAAAGAACATGGTCTCCCATTCTTTCAGAACACCACATTAGTAAAAGCTGAGTGGTCACTTACTATGACTGATATAGAAAAGATTACTCCCTGAGTATGAGGCTAGATCCAGTGACTCCTAACATCCCACCTCTTAAGATTCTATAATATATGATTCCATGAAAATTGCTCATCTTTTCTTAAGAAACTTGCCCTCAACCTAACTTCCACATTCTGTGGGAGGTAGGTGAGTAACACTTCCATCTCACTTCTCAAACAAGGAGTAAATGTCATTTTTGATATGGCTGTATATACTTAGATGTGTACATGCTGTTCCCCTGGATAGAAGGTAAACTTGAGGGCAGAGGTTGCTTCATTTTTGTTTTTGTAACCCTCTGCACTTAATATAACACCCAGCACATAGTAGGTCCTTAATGTTAGATGACTGTTTCCAAAATTCTGATGATTTTTTCTACCAAACTTCACTCTTTTATGTTCTTTCCTTTCAGCCTCCAATTCAAATCTCTAATCCACCCACTAGTCATTTTCTGACTAGGTTTGTTGTTTCCTCATTTCTGTCATGTCCAACAACACTTCATGATCTCAATTGGGGTTTTCTTGGCAAAGATATTGGAATGGTTTGCCATTTCCTTCTCCAGCTCCTTTTACAGATGAGGAAACCAAGGCCAACCAGGTTAAGTGCCTTGCCCAGGGTCACAAAGCTACTAAGTGTCTGAGGCTGCATTTGAACTCAGGTCTTACAGAGTCTAGGCCCAGTGCTCTATCCACTGCTCAATCTAGCTGACAAGTTTATTCTATTCAGTTAAAAAAGCAAACAAGCCTTTATGGCAACCTTGTAGGTCCCAGCTTTTCTACTTTTATCCTCTTTCCTGAAAATGGATACCAAAGTCACCATTTCATATGGTGCTATGTACACAGTGAAAACTCTCTGTAGATGAGGATGAGGATGATGATGATGATGACAATGTTTGCCTAATGTTCCATTCATGTTTCTCATTAGTCGGTAGTATTTCTCTATATATCAGGATCAATGATTTTCACCCTTAACTAGTGAGTGGTCTGAGAATTATATAAACTAAGCTGCCTTTCAGTCCTACCCAGGTAAGTAAAACTATCACCACTCTTGTTTATTGCTTCCATTCCCAGCTTTCTAGTTTCCCCAATTATCCCTATGCCTGAATAGGCTTTTACAAAAAGTATTAATTATTCATTGATTCATTCAACAAACATGGCATATCTACTGTGTGTAGAACACTGCTGTGGGTTCTAGAAGCAATCAGGGTTAGGGAAGGTTGGGCCCCAAGCTTTTGTGAAATTTACACAATAGTAAGTTACAATATTAATTTACATATAGTAATAGTAGGGAGAAAAGACACAAACACCGACAACCATAACACATGCTACTACATAATTTAGTGTGTTAGCAAGTTGCAAACCTCATAAAATTCTACTTCCTTCCAAAAAGCCTTCTCTGTCTGCTTGGAAGTCTGGTAATGATTTTCTCCACTTCTCACCCAGTGCCAACAAGCAACTCATATTTTCCACAGCTTACTGATGTCCGCAAATTAAGTCAATATTTACTGAATTAATTTTAGTTTGGTCCCTTGCTATATCATTTTCTCTGTGTTGTACAATTTATCTTTGTACAAAATAGCTAACATTTATCTAGTGTTTTAAGATTTGCACAGCACTTTGTAAATATTCTCTAATTTTATCCTCACAATAACCATGGGAGGTAACTGCTTTTATTATCCCCATTTACAACTGAGGAAACTGAGGTAGGCAGAGGTTAAGTGACTTGCCCAGGGTCATATAGCTAGTAAGTGTCTGAGGCAAGATTTGTACTCAGGTTTTCCTGACTCCACGTCCAGCATTCTAATCACGGAGCAGCTAACATTACCAACGCCTGTTTTAGGTCTTCAGTGTCTAACTTTTTTGGGGTAACAATACACAGAGAACAATTAAGTGTGTGAACGCTAAGTAAATACCATCAGCTCATGATTATTTGAGGGTATCTAGTCCCTGTTTCTCACTTCTCCAGCAGAAGAAATGAAAGAATCCTTGCCCTCATAGAGCTTACATTTTCTTGCTAGCTACTCCCACACAAAGCTTTAGTTGAAACAGTTAAAAAGGTATTCTCAGAGTTTTAATTAATTTTTCAATTCAATTAACACTATCAACCTCTCATAGAGTTTGTTTTAAGAAAAACAAATGAAATTAGGCTGTGTCCATGTTTTTATTTCTCTCAAGCTGGCTTAACATGTATTGCATGGGAGTTACAGTCCAAAACTGGGCCCCCCTAATGGGGTCAATTCAGAACTGGCTCAATTTGGGGCTTGGGTATACAAGGTTATATGCCCTTCGAAAAGTAGGTGTTCTCAAGGGGTGCCCATCAACTCTGATTGGTCAACACACTGGGAGGTGGGCTATATTAAAATGAAGGTCTTGAGTATGGATTTAAGTCACCTAATCCTGGTACAATACCTTTTCAACAGAAACTGGTATCTCCAGCCCATCATTCTACCTCCAGACAAAGGAAATACCTGTTCTATCAGACCACACTCCTCTCCCTGCCCTGCTCCCCGCCCCTTCTCTCCCACCCCATACCAGACCACTCCCAGTCTTGACCTATCTAGGCAGAAGAATCTGTCTCCACCCAAACCTGGGCAGCTTCCAATGCAATCTCATTATCAGTAATGTCCTGAAGAACTTTCCAGAAGGGGGCTGGCTGGGACTGAAGCTCTGATAATCATTTTTCACAACACTTGTTAGTCATCTGCTGAAATACAAATATGAAAAGTGACATAGTTCCTGCTCTCAAGGAGCTTATGGTCTATGGGGAGAAAGGGAGGTCTATCACCTGTAATTTAGTATTAATAGGTAGTATATGATAAGGGCAAAGGAAAGATGTAGCTAAAGTGCTCTAGGAACGTTAATGTAATTATATTTCCTCTCTTGGACATGATATCATTTGAGACCTATGATGATGATCACAGTTTCCTTTATTTTTAATAGCAAGAGAGAAGACTTCTTGCCTCCTAGTAGATCATAAGTTCCTTGAGGGCAGGAACTGGCTCATTTCTCTTATTTATATTTCATATATATATTTCTGCCTAGCAGAGCCCTGTACACAGTAGGTGATTAATAAGTATTTACTGAATTGAAAGATCAATTAAACCCTTAGATTATCTTTTTAACTGTTTCAACTAAAGCTTTTCCTGGGGGCAACTAGCAAGAAAATGTAAGCTCTATGAGGATAAGGAAGCAAGGAATAAAAGAAGTAGAGAAGGAAAACTTACGCCATTTTCATTTTTCCTAGCTTCCTACAAGACAATAAATACTCAAGTCATCAGGGTCCCAGGAAGCAATGAAATAGAGCTTACCTGTCAGTCTAAAGGCTATCCTCTGGCAGTGGTATCCTGGCTAAACATCAGTGAATCTGTGAATACCACCCACTCGAAGACCCCTGAGGGTCTCTATAACATCACCAGTGTCCTGCGGCTAAAGGAAAACACCCATAGGAACGTCAGCTGTGAGTTCTGGAATGAAGCTATCCAAGAAAGGACGTCTGCTATCATGAACCCTATTTTAGGTAACCATTGACTCCCCTTTCAAACACTGGTGGCTGCCAGTGAAAGGAGGGTGGCTTATCAAATGCCTTTTTTGGCAACAACATGTAATTGAGGCAAGTTCAGTAACTCATTTCCAGAGACTGCAATATCATCTTGCCTTTTCCCTGAGAAACCTAGACCCTTACTGGTGATAACCCACATTTTGATGTCTCTTAGGAGTTCCAAAGCTTTGTTCTCACAACAACCCCGTGAATATTTTTATTCCCTTTTTACAGATGAGGAAACTGAAGCAAAGTAACTGACTCATAATTGCACAACAAGTAAAGGTCAAAGTTGGCGTATTCAAACTCAAGCTTCCTGAATCTGAAACCAGAGCTCTTTCCACAATACCTCTCAGACTCTTAAAAAAGGGCTTCACAGTTGGGTTGGCTGGTTTTCTTTACAAGAGCCCTTGGCTCCAGGCAAAATGGCTTATTGTCCTTCAAATACTTCATGACTTTTCCACATCCTCTCCTCTCTGCCTAAATCTTACATGCCCTTCAAGAACCAGCTGGTATGGCTCTTTCATAAAAGTTTTCCAGATGACTCAGTCTTCCCTCCTCTACTGACCAAGTTGGCACTTGCTGTCTTGCCTCTTCCTCAGGATGTCTTGCTGCTGGTTGGCATCTTCCTGCCTATAATCTCAGCTCGGTTATTTACCAACTCTATAATTTTGGGCCAATAACTTAATCTTCTGGGCTTCAGTTTCCTGATCTGTAAATTCAGGGTGTAGGTCAGATGATCTCTAAGGTCCTTTCCAGTTTTAAATGCTTTGTTCTAAAGAGACTTCTTTGGTACTCTTCCAGCTGTGTGACTATAGGAGTCAGTCTTTGTAAGCCTCTGTTTTCTCATCTGTAAATGGGAATAGTTAGATGGTGTGGCGGATAGAGTGCTGGGACTGGAATCAGGAGGATCAGAGTCCAAACCCAGCCTCAGACACATACTACCTGTGTGACCCTAGGCAAGTCACTTATCCTTTGCCTCAATTTCTCCAACTGTAAAACGGGGACCTGGAGAAGGAAATGGTAAACCATTCCAGTATATCTGTAAAGAAAAGCTCACTGGGGTCACACACAGTTGGACCCTATTAAAAATGACTTAACAACAACAAAAATGGGAATAGTAATGCGTACAGAAAGCTTTAGAAAGCAGAGTAATAACAATTACAATCATTACCCTTATTTCTACCCATTGGGCTTACTCCAGGTTCCTGTAGCTGTGCAAAAACCTAATCTCTCTTCCAGATGACATCCCTCAAAGATCTGAAGACAGTAGCTTTGTCACTCCTTAGGTCTTCTCTTCTCCAGGATAAACTTTTCTAATTCCTTCAACCATTCTTATATAACATGGCAATAGGAATGGGTATGGCTCTTTCCCAGAAAAGCCCAGGGCTCTTCTCCCTCTTCATACTGTCAAGGTTGCATCAGTGACTTTGATAGTGTGTTCAGTATTTCCCTCTTTGGCTATTATAAATTTTTTACCTGGTCACTTTCTCCCAAGGTTTCCAACATTTCCATGTCACCAACCAGCTCTTCCTTGTTGGTGAGAATTAGATCTAGAATAGTAACATCTCATCACTTCCTCTATTTTCTGAGTAATGAAACTATTAGCAGGTGAAGCATTTGTTAGATTTTCTGCTTTTCAGCAGATATACAAATCATTCCTATTCTATCTTGTTTCTGTGCTAGTTTGAAATTCTTTTTTTTTGTAACTTTCACTTTTTTGTTATTCTTAATTTGGCAAACACTTCAACAAACATTTCCATCTACAAAGGATAGAAAAGTGGGGTTTTATATGAAACTGTGAATCTGTTATATACTGATTAGTTTTTAAAAGTATATAATAAATGCAACACATTAATTGCAAAGCTGTCTTTGTTGATTATGTCTTCCACTGAACCTCCTTATGTTCTCTTTTGTGCATTTTAATAAGTGCTATACTAGCACTTTTTTCTTTCCTTTCTTCTTTTTTTTTGGCATCTTTATTACTAATCTCTCTCTTCCCCCAAATTCTCCCTCCACCATCCCCAACCCTGGACAAAAAAAAAGGGTTTTTAAAATTTTACCTTCTAACAAATAAGCATAGTCAATCAAAACAAATCCACAAACATTGGCTATGTCCAAAAATGTAAATCTCATTCTGTATCTCTAAATCATCACCCCTCTGTTGGGAGGTAGGAAACACGTTTTATCACTGGTCTTCTGAAATCTTGGCTGGTCATTGTACTGATCAGAATTCTTAAGTTTTTCAGAGTTGTTTTTCTTTATAATATAATGGTCAATGTATAAACCGATCTCCTAAGTCTATTCATTTTGCTTAGCATCAGTTCATATAAGTTTTCCTGGGCTTCTATGACTTCATCCCTTTTGCTGTTTCTTACAACACAATGATATGATTGCATTCATATTCCATGATTTGTTTAGCCATTCTCCAGTTGATGGGCACTCCCTTATTTTCCAGGTCTTTGCTACAACACACACACCACACACACACACACACACACACACACACAGCTGCTCTGGATATTTATGAGCTTATGGGTCTATGCTTTCTTTTTTTTTTAAATCTCTTTGGGTTTTTGTAATATCTCTCAAGAGAAATTTGTGTATATGCTCCTTTTGGCAAGATAGCCAATAGTATACACCCACAATATTTTCCCCTTTGTTTACACTCACCCAGATGCTCTGCTTTGTGTATCCATCCTCAGGTTCATGGATTTCCATATCTTTTCTGACATAATCTAATCTTTTTTTCTTTTGAGAAAGGCATAAGCTTCAGTGATTCAATTCAACTCAGGAAGCATTTATTAAGTATCTACCCTGTGTGGCACTGCTCTATGTGCTGGGATACAAAGACAAAAATTAAATAGTCCTTGCCCTCAAATAGTTTACCGTCTGTGAATATCTTAGGTGCTCAATGCATATCTATTGATTGGATGTTACTGCTCTTGGGTCATTCCACTCCCAACACCCTCCCACAATGGATTGTGTTGACATCTATGCAAGGGCAGGAAAACTCTTTAGTAGCTGATAGTGCCCCTATGGTTCTATGGTTTCCTGATGTTGATACTATCAATGACTTCCCTGCAGTCACATTATCTTCAAGTCTCTTAATTTCTGTTTCCTAAAATGTTTCATGTGTTCCACTCCACTGCACTTAGGCTTGTTTGCCTCTTTTCTACCATCCATATTCTCATCAGACATCTGTTCTTGGCTTCTTAGGGTGACCACACTCTTCTCATAATTGGAGTGGTTGACAGCCCTTCTCAATGTATCATCAAGGCAAGCATGAGTGGAAATTGTGAACAAATGTACCGCAGCAGCTTATGGAATGACTTAAGATATATCCAAATTCTACCTAGAACTTACCATTAGCCACTTAGTGATATTTGACTCTTTGGGTTATTTTTTTTGTTTGCTTAAAACAGAATTTCTTCCTTGCGAGTTCATTTTTTTAAAGTACATGGCAGGGGGGATTTTTCAAATTTATTTTAAATTTAAATACAAAACAAGAAAAGAAAAAAAATTGTCATATACACAGCTGAACACAAGAAAGGATTCAATATAAAACAAATTTCTGTTTGAAGAAAACCTATATAATAAATATTACACATTATTTTCAATGCTGCCCAGCTTTTCTTTGCTTCCCCAAAGGTATTCTTTCGTTCTCTGTTGTACATTTTTTACTTTATTTTTTCCCCTCCTTCCCCACTCCCCTCCCCAAAGAAGGCTATATGTGTATATATATATATATATATATATATATATATATATATATATATATATATATATATATATATATATATATATACACACACACACACACACACACACACACACACACACACACACACACACACACACACACACACACATATACACTCATACACATATACGTAAGACTGTACTATGCTTATTTCTACCTGTCGTCTGTTTCTCCAAAGGTGGATAACATCTTCCTTCATAAGTCCAAGTCTTTCCATGTTTTTAAATCAACCAGCTCATCATTTCTTACATCACAACATTATTCCAACACAATCACATCCTATCTGAAAGTTTATCTATGAAAGTTTCCCCCCAATTTTCTGCATTCCTTCCATTCTTGGCTGCATAGATTTTATTTTATATAAAAAAACTTTAAAATAATCAAAATTATCCATTTTACACTTCAACAATGCTCTCACCTTATAATATAATTTAAAGTCTGATACTGCTGAATCTACTTCCTTTACATCTTTTTTCCAGTTTCTTTGAAGTTCCTGACCTTTTGTTCTTCTAAATTGACTTTGTCATTTTTTTCCAACTTAGTAAGATAACTTTTTAGTGATTTAATTGGGATGACATTGATTAGTTAGGTAAAACTGTCATTTTTCAAAATTATATTGGTTTTACCTACCATTAACAATAAATATTACTTCAATTATTTAGATCTGACTTTATTTGTATAAAAAGTATTTTATATTTATGTTCATATAGTTCCTGTGTCTCTTTTGGGAGGTATACTCTCAGGTATTTTATATTGTCTAATTATTTTAAATTATCTAAAATAATATTGCTGACACATAGTGTGGTTTCCCTAATTTTTTTTTATTAAATCTATTTTAGCTTTAACTTTGTCTGAGGTCATGACTACTACCCTTGCTTTTTTTAACCTAATAATTTCTATTCCTGCCCTTTATTTTATCTTCGTATCTCCTATATAATTTTATAGCATTTCCTGAAAGTAACATTTTGTTGAATTCAAATTTTTTAATCTGCTATCAGTTTCCATTTTATGGATAAATTCATTCCATTCATATTCTAAGCTATAATTACTTGTGTTATTTTTCTCCTTTTTTTCCTTTACTATTTTTCTTGTTTTTTGTTGGTTTTTTGTTTGTTTGGGTTTTTTTTTTGGTGAGGCAATCGGGGTTAAGTGACTTGCCCAAGGTCACACAGCTAGTAAGTGTCAAGTGTCTGAGGCCCAATTTGAACTCAGGTCCTCCTGACTCCAAGGCTGGAGCTTTATCCACTGCGGCACCTAGACGCCCCTCTTCATTATTTTTCTCACCCTATTCCTATCCCTCTTCTGCTTTACTTCTACCTACTAGTTTGTCCTCCTATTCCTTAACCTACCTACCCCTCCCAGAATCCATCCCTTATCCTCTCCTCCCACCCTATCCCCTTGCCCTCATTTCTTTCTGAATTTAGAAGAGTAAGGTTCCAGTACTACTCACCCTCCCCCACTAGCTTCTTCTGTATCAGTTTTTCCTTTTACACATTTGTGTAAGATATGAGATTTGTATGATATAATTACTCCTTTTTATCTCTCCCTACACAGTTTTATTTTTAGAATGCCCCATTATACTCAGCTCAGCCTGAGACTTTCTTTCAAACTACTCAAATAATAATGACAGTCATAAGAGTATTGATAATATTTTCACACATAAGAAGCAAACTATTTGACCTTATTGAGTCCCTTATATAAATGGTATTTAATGTTTACCTTATATTTCTCCTGGATAGTATATGTCAAAATTTCCCTTAAGTTCTACTGTTTTTGTCACAATACCTGAAAGTCTTTCAGTTTGTTAAATGTCTATTATTTTTCATGCAGGAGTATATTTAACTTTGATGGGTAAGTTACCCTTAGTTGTAACTACAGATCTTTTGCTTTATGAAATACAGTATTCCAAGACCTATGGTCCTTCAATGTAGTAGCTGCTAGGTCTTGTGTAATCCTTATTGTAGCTCCATGACATTTAAATTGTTTTTTTGTTTGTTTTTTTCATGTTGCTTCCAATACTTTCTCCTTAACCTGGGAGCTTTGGAACTTGGCTATGATATTGCCATAACTTTTACTCCTGGGAACTCTTTCAGATAGTGATCAGTGGATTTTTTCTATTTCTGCTTTGCCTTCTTCTTGTAACAGTATATCAAGATTTTTTTTCTTTTCAATCATAACTTTCAGGTAGTCTGACTATTCTTATATTATTTCTCCTCAATCTATTCTCTAGATCAGTTGTTTTTCTGATGAGATGTTTCACATTCTCTTCTATTTTTTCATTCTTTAGATTTCGTTTTATTATTTCTTGGTGTCTTAGAATGCCATTGACTTCTACTGGCCCAATTGTAGTTTTCAAGGAATTATTTTCTTCCTTAAGTTTCTGATTCTCTTTTTCACAATGGTTGACTTTCTTTTCATAATTTTCTTGATTTTCTTGGATTACTCTTATTATTTTTTTCCCCTGATTTTTCCTTGATCTCTCCTATTTGATTTTTAAAGTCCTTTTTAAGTTTTTCCAAGAACTCTTTTTGTGATTGGGGCCATTTGATGTTTCTCACTGAAAAACAAGTAGCTTTTTAAAGCTCCATTATCTTCCTCTGAATATGAACCCAGATCTTCTCTATCCCCATAGTAGCTATCTATGCTTGGGTTCTTTCTCCTTTGCTTACTCATTTTTATTTACTTATTTTTATTTCATTTTGTTTCTGGCAACTATTAGTGTAATCAAGTTCTCATCCTGAGGTGTGGGGAATGATATCCCAAACCTCAGGTCCTTCTTACTGTTATTTTCTGAGATCTGTCCCAGGCCTCAACCTTGGGCTCTAGGGCCCCCAGCCACACGGTCGGTCCCGCAAATGATCTTGCTCCCTGTGTGGTCCCTCCAGTGGCTGTAAACTATAGCTGTCCTCTCTCTACCCTGGAACTGAAACCAGGGACTCTGCTCTCCTGCAGGTGCCCACAGCTAGCCAGGTCTCTGCCCCACTGCTACTGCATTCACCAGGCCTGTGCTAGCTCCTTCTCGCCCACAGCAGCAGCCCAGCGCAGAACACATCAGGTCAGTACAGCTATGCTTGGCTTCCCTCAACAATGGAAGGTCCTTCGAACTTCTACTCAGCAGTCAGACCTCCACACTGTCAGTGAGACGAAAGTTTCTAAGGCTGAGGCTGCCTCCCAATCCCAGCTGCCCCCAGAACTTTTTTGTTGATTTGGCAGAGGTGGCCTAGAGGTGTTTATACTTCCTTAAGGCCAAACCTCCACCTTTGGAGGTCAGATCTTTCCTGGGGTCTTCTCAAATTGTCTTAGGAGAACAACTGCCTTACCCTGGTGTTTATTTCTGCTGCTCTGAGGTCAATGTACTGTCTTTTTTGTGGAGGAAATTTGGAGAGCCAAAAGTTTTCTGACCTACTCCGCCATCTTCCCAGAACCCCTCCCCCAAAAGTACATTTCACTAGAGCAGCTCAAAAATCTTTGCAGATGATAAACTCGAGTGGGCAAGAACCAACTTTGTTTAACCCGATTCAATCCAACTGGTAATTCCTTAGTACCTGATAAAAACTTATCCGCACGGTAGGTGGCATTAGGCAGGCAGCTCAGTGTAGCTGTTGATGGTGTGTATCCGAATCCCTGTTGAAACTGGCCATCTATTAACAGTATTCTGATGTAACTTATTTCTGCAGATGAAATTCCAGATGAAAAAATACCCCTGACTTATATTTTCATTCCCACCTGCATCATCATCTTGATTTCTGTGGCAGCCCTGATATTTCTCAGAAGACAATTCTGCCCAAAGGTCTCACACAGAATGGGTAAGCTCCATTGCCTATATGGCCTATATGCTTATGTTGCTTTGACTCATAATGAAAAAAGGGCTGAACTTTGTTGGAGTCAGGAAATCAGGCATTCAAATCTTGGCTCTGATCATTAACACCTGAGCAAGTCGCTTCATCTCCTTGGGCTCAGCATCTTCATCAAACTCATTAATTGAGTTTGAACTTTACAATCCGTAGGGACCTTTTTTAGCTCTCCGTTCTAGGTCTCCATGATACTTCTTTGATCTGTTGATTTTGATTTGATGTTCTCATAGTCTTTCCCCTAAACCAGTTGGTGCTGATCTTTGGTAAGCAGACACTTGTTTTCCTTTTTAAAATTTTTCTTTAATTGGGGGTTTGTGGGAAGAATGTTCTGTTCTTTCAAGCATGATTTCCTTGTTTTGCTCACTGTCTGATCCAAGGGTATGTTAGTGTTCATGAGATCCAGATGTTAACAGAGTAATTCTGCTGGCTCTGAGGACCACATTGGTCAGGGTCAGCCTTTCAGAGTGCATAGAAGCATACAGTCTCAGCATGGAAGGGACCTCAGTTGCTATCTCCTCTAACCCTTACTAGCCTCCCCTTGAAGACCTCCAGTAACAAAGAACTCGCTGTTTCCTGAAGCAGTCCATTCACATTTATAGACAACTCTGATTCTTAAGAAGTTTTTTTCTTATTCTGTGCTAAAATCTACTTACGTGCAATGGCCACACATTATTCCCAGTTCTGCTGCTCTGAGGCCAAGCAAAAATGTCAAATCCCTTTTCCAAGCATCAGAACTTAGGTCATTCAACTCTTGGTATGGAGCTCCTTTGACAGAGATAAGATCAAGCATTCTACAGAATCCTCAGGGGTGACTCAGCCTGTTTGATTTTAATTTCACTGCAGATTCATCTTTGACTCTCACCACTGTTAAGATTTCCTAGAAAATCCTTATAGATATCTCCCACCATAATTTGGGTCAAGTGTTTGGACAGGAATAGAAATAAAAATGAAGGGGCACCCTGCATGGTCTTTCTTTTCTTTCATCCTGCTGGCCCCCTCACTTAACCCTGTCCCCAGACTCTTGGACAAGACAGGAAAAGAAAGTTCCTTTGACTAAAACCCTGCAAAATGGAAAACCAGCTATGATGTCAAAAGTATTCAATTCTGGAATTAGAGCAAGAGAACCTAGTTTCCAATTCCAGCTCTGCTGTGTACCACCTTCGTGACCCTGGGCAAATAATTTCCCCTTCTTAGGACTCATTGCCCTTATCTCTAAGACTAAGTGCTTAGCCTAATGGTTCAATTCTAGCTCTTTTTATTTCCCGATTAGTAGATTTGGGTCCTGGATATTTGCCACTGGCTTTCATGAGAGGCCCCTGTCTGCAAATACAACAGAAGAGTTGGTAGGGTATGTCTGGTACTTTCCTAAACAATCTGTTTATCAGAACCAAGCTGGTCCCTCAAAAGGACCACAGTCCTGGTTCCCCATTCCAAAATAAGGAGGGAAAACAATCTGTACTACCATATGATACTCCAATTGAGGAATTGTCTCTTTTTTTTCGGCTTCTTTTTGTTTTATTAGCCTAGTTGCTGTTTTTATATTCATGTTCATCATGAGATAAAATCCTATCCTTTGTCCATTAGTTTACTAATGACTGTACTTACAAGGCTTTGGGGCAATGCACTAAGATCCACAGAACTGAGAACTGGAAGAGACCTTCAGTCCCCACGACTTACTGTATGAAGTACCGAGAACTGGGAGGGGCTAGGGAGGAGGAGAGGGGAAAAAAAGGGCAAGAGAAATCTTTGTCTCAAAGAGGAAGAATTACAGGACAGCCCTACAGAGACCATACAGAGCTTGCTTCCTCTTGGCCCAGTTACATATCACTAGCTCTGCTCGTCCTCCAAATTCTACCTCCACCACCACCACCACCAAAGATCTCAAAAACTCTACCTTACAATAAACAAGCACAGTCAAGCGCAACAAATCCACACACTGACCATGTCCAAGAACACACACTGTCCTTCCGCCAATTTTACCCATGATGAACTCTACTCCCTCATCTCTGGCTCAAGACCGTAAGAGTTACTCTTCAATTTAGGAAGAAGCAACATAGGCTTTCCTCCCTGCAGTCTTTGAGAAATAGAACAGTAATGACAACAATGATAATTACTACAGCAGCTAATATGTATATGAGCACTGTAAGTTTTGCAAAGTGCTTTCTATGTACACAGAATAGCCATGCAATGTTTCCACTCCCTTTTCTCTCACCTATCCCCAAATTATCCATCATATGTAAGACATATGTATCTATGTAAGGTATCTATGTCTTCATCAATTGCCTAAATATAGAGATGCAGTTCATGGGAAGCATGGCTAGATCTCTCTAGAATCTGGCCCATCCCTCTCCAATGGACTGTGATTTCTGTCTGAGAGAATCAGGAGAAAGAACGTGGCTGCAGGCTTGTTTCTTCCCTTACTTATCTTCTAGAGTGGAATCAAGTTAGAATTATATTTCTCTTTCTCCCTCCCCCTCCCCACCCTGCCCAATATCTCTAGTGGTACCGTGTTTAAAGGTTCAGAAAAAGAAATTTCTTTTCTTCTGCAGGATGGATAGCTCTCAGTTTATACTTGCCAGGTTAGTTCCTTCCCACCAAACTCTGGTTACACAAAGACGACCAGAAACAGCAAAACCAGCAAGCAGAAACTAGAGAAATTCTACAGATTAGAATATACCAGAAAATACACGAATGAATGAGATCTTCTGCAGGGAGTGAGAAAAGATCTCAGCTCAAACCATGAGAGATCCCAAACTTGTTTTTCACAAATAGAGCTGTGTACAAGTAGGAAAGGCTGCCTTGGGAGGTAGCAAGTTCCCCCTATCTCAAGGTCTTCGAGCAAAGGTTGTATGGCCACTTACTTGATGGGTAACCTGTACAGCGATTCTTCTTCCGGGCATGGTCGGATTAGACACCTTTCTGAGGTCCCTTCTGTGATTCTGCTCATTTGTCTTTGTATCCCCAAAGCCTGGTACTGTCAGTGCCTGGAACATAGTGATCAATTAATAAGTGCTTATTAGATTGGATTGGCAGGGTTGGTCTTATGCTCCTCAAAAGAGTCAGAGTAGATTGGTACCTACAAGTATGGTTTCCGAAGGGCTAGGAATATCTCCTTTTATACCATCTGTCACATTGAACACCAGAATTCTGGGAACCATAATTTGGGAAGTGTTGGACAAGACAATCTCTAAGATACTTTCCAATGCTAACATTATTCCATCATTATCATTATTATTATCATGTTTTGATTCTATATTTTTGTAAAATTCTGCTATTAGTAAATCTCTCTTTAGGGTTAGTAAGAATTCTTTTTACAAATGCAAATAACCTTGAGATATAAACACATTGCTATCTATTATTAGTTAATTTGTTGAATTAACTTAGTCATATTTTCTTTTGTGACAAATGAAAGGATTATGGTATAAGGAGTAGAACTCTGGACTTGGAATCAGGAAATCCAACTTCAAATCCTGCCTCAAACACTTACTTAGCTATGTGACCCTGGACAAATCGTTTAACCTCTCTGTGCCTCAGTTTTGTTATCTATAAAATGAAGAGGTTGGACTCCATAACATGTAGTAAGGTCCTTTGCAGTTCTAAATTTATGATCTAATACCAGACAGAAGGGAAATTTTAAAGAGAGAGAAAGAGGGAGGGATGCTACTGGAGAACGGGCAGTACCTAAGGAAATCATTCTACATGGAGTATCACAACAATTAACATTAAGACACTGGGAGAAGAAGGATACATGGAGAAAAGGACACATGAAAGGGAATTGAGAAAGAAGCAAAGGAAGCCCTATCTGACAATACTGCATAGGACTAGCTTTGAGAGGTGGGCTCAATCTGTGATCCCAAATCAGTGTGGATATTTTAAACTTTATTTATAAGCACTTCTTTTCTGGTACTGTCACAGAATTATGGAAAATAGCACTGGGAGGGATCTTAACAGTTATTTACTCCAGCTCCATAATTTTTAAACAAGGAAGCTGAAGCCCAAAAAGTTCTTGCTCTAAATTCCATTGGTAGCAAAGTCAGGATTGGACCCTGAGACTCCAAATCCATTCTTTCCACTATACCCTACTACCCAGCTCTTTTATTTCTTTTCCTGAAATTAAAATACTTTCTCTTCTTAGTAAGAGTATAACCTTGACTCTTTCTTTCTCCCAGACACAACAGATATATACATTGCCATGCTATAGAGGGAAGTGAACTTAACTATTTAAGTGGACACAATCTGTTTTTTCTTTTTTCACATCTTTTTCTCTGTCAACACAAATAGGGAAATATGCCACTGTTCTAATAATAGACAATGGGAAATTAAACAGTTTTATACTGTAAATTGGACTTTCCTGATATATAGAGCTGTTTGTTAGCCAGCACACTTCATATCATAGAAGACCAGCTGTGGTTTAGTAGAGTCAACGGTGGATTTGGAGTCAGGACATTGTCCCAGGCCCAGTCCAGCCATTTACTAGCTATGTGACCTTGGGCAAGTGAGTTAACTTTTCTACTTCTGGGTTGGCTACATAGGGGTAGCCTCATAGGCTACCTCATAGGGTTGTGTGTGTGTATGCATGTGTGACTCAAATGAGATAAAGTGCAAACTCTAAAATGCCATAGAAATGTCATGTCGGCTCTTGTTATCATTACACAATCGCTCTAAGAGCAACAAGCAGTTACTGTCCAGCTCTAGGGGATTCATAAAAAGTCTTCCCTAGATAGCAAGGATGGCATCTGTAGCAGAGTAGCATCGATGTCACTCAATAGTTGGAATTTTAGAGGTAGAAGGTGCCATAGAGACCTCTACTCCACATCCCTCCAGCCCCATCACAAGATTATGGGACAGTTTGAGCCAGATTGTGGAGGGCCTTGAATACTAGAATTGGTTGGGAATATATAGTTTATTCAATAAACTGAGGCCATCACTTCATACCTTTTATTTTAAAGTGCTCTAATGCATTTTCTCATTTGATCTTCATCACAACCCTCTGAGGCAGGTGTGGTTATAATCTTCAGGTACAGACTATCACTTCATTTCAAGGAAGATGCTCAGCATTGTCTACCAAGGCTTCCTTCAAACCCAAGGATGTGAGGATCATTCAGCACTGCCTCTGAACCGTGCCAGTTACCAGAAGGCACTTGCTTATTGCCCTTCTAAGACATTTCAGACTGGTTTTACAAAAGTGGGTGCTCACATTCTGGTTGGTCTCCCTGCCTTAAATCCCTTCTCTCTCCATTCCATCCTCCACCCAGCTGCCTATGATCTTTCTCAAACAAAATCTGACCCAATCCCAAAGGACTCATGAGAAAGAAGTGATATTGTCTGAATACAGACTGAATGAAGCATACTATTTTTCACTTTCTATCTCTCTCTTTCCCTTTCTTCCTTTCTCCTTTTTCTTTCTCTTTTCTTTCTTTTTCAAGTTTTCTTGTACAAAATGACTAATATGGAAATGTTTTCCACGATTGCACACATACAACCTATATCAGATTGCTTACCATCTCACGGAAGGGGGAAGGCAGGGAGAGTGGGGTAGAATTTGGAATTCAAAACTTTAAAAAAAAAAAGCAAAAAATGTTTAAAAACGTTTTTACATGTAATTGAGGGGAAAGTAAAATATTTTTTTAAAAGTCTGACCATTTCACCCCTCCCTTTACTCAACAAACTCTAGAGGCTCCTCTTACCAACAGGATCAAACATAGAATCTTCTGTTTGGCTTTTAAAGCCCTTTCTGATCTGACCCATCCCTACCTTTGCAGTTACCTTAGGTTTTACTCTCCTACACGTACTTTACAATCCAATGACACTGGCCTCCTTGTTATTCCCCCCCCCACAAGACACTTATCCCCACTCCCCAATTTTTTACAGGCTGTATCCCATTCCTGGAATTTTCTCCCTCCTACCCTCCCCTTCCTGGCTTCTCCGGCTTACTTTAAGATTCAGCTCAAGTTCCACCCTCTTCAGGAGACCTCCTGGTCTCCCCAGCCGCTAGCACTTTTCCCTCTGAGATCAACTCCCACTAGATCGTATACATCTTGCATTCACTTAGTTAATTACACGTCTCCCCCTTTAGACTGTGAGCTCCTTGAGAGCAGGGCATATTTTTGCCTTCCTTTGTATTTGCAGCACTTAATGTGGTGCTTGGTACACAGTAAATACTTAACAGATGCTTGTTGACCGACTAACTGTAGAGGTTAAAGGACTTGCTGAAAGGCATATAGGTAGTAAGAGAGGAAGGATTGGAACCCAGGTCCTTTGAATCTTTGAGTCAATGCTCTTTCCACTGTCTTTTGGTACTGGAGAACTTGACCAAAGGCCAGAATCACTGAGAGGATGTAAATGTGACTCTTCAGATGCTCTTTCCCCCCTATTGCAAGATAAGCAGCTCTAGTCTTCCTAAGAAAGTGGTATTTCCTTTACCAGTCATTTCTGGACCAGTCATTTGGTACTGCATGACTTTAGAATTTATTCAAAATTCATTTTAAAAGTCATACATAATTTCCACATAACTTGAGATCATATTAGAATTAGGACTGGAAAGGACCTAGTCTAACCATGTCCAGAATCCCTACACATGCCTCCACTATACAGACAAAGAAACTAATGCAGCGATTTGGCAAGAGTCTCACAGGTCTTAAGTAACAGGGCCAGCATTTCAATCCAAATCCTCTGACTCAAAGCCCATATGCTACAAATCCAGCAAGCATTTTTTTTTAGGCAATTGGGGTTGTGACTTGCCCAGAGTCACACAGCTAGTCAGTGTCAAGAGTTTGGTCTGAGGCCGAATTCGAACTCAGATCCTCCTGACTCCAGGGCCGATGCTCTATCCACTGTGCCATCTAGCAAGCATTTATTAAGCACCTTCTTCTGTGCAATGACTACACTAGCTGCTGGGGACACAAAGGCAAAATGCAAACTAATATTCTGTCCCTTCAAGGAGTTAGGAAGATACAGGAAGCAAAAAGAGGCAGCTTGGATGGCTCAGTGTTCAGAGTGGTGAACTTGGAAGCTGGGAGATCTGAATTCTAGTCCTGCCTCAGATACTTATCTATGTAATCATGGACAAGTCCTGTAACCTGCCTCAGTTTCCTTATCTGTAAAATGGGAATGATAACAGCACCTACTTCACCAGGCTCTTGTGAGGTTCAAATGACACGTTACATAAATTTCTTTGTAAACCTTAAAGTGCTACATAAATGCTAGCTATTGTTACTAAACAAATATGGAGATATAATCGAGGTGGGAGAGAGTGCCAAGAAGGGTGAGGTGAAATAAAGTTTGGGGATTCAGAGCCCTTTCTCCTAAACTACTCTGCTGTGAACTTGGAGATTCCAAGTTCGCATGCAAGGCTGATTTGGGGCTTTTTTGCTTATTTCTGCAGATTTCTTTCTCACCTCACTGCCTCCTCCTTTTTCAAGCTGTATGTAACTATATGTAAATGTATGTAAAGCATCTGCTCCCCTGAAAGAATGTAGGTACCAGAGACCAAAGACCACGTGTAGCCTGATAACCATTCTTCTAGACATAGATCGAAATCATGAACTTTTAAGTAAAGCTGGAAAGAACCAGCAGCCAGAATGACTAGAAACTTGAAATGATCAAAAATGTTTAATCAAATATTGAACTGGAAATGACTTTTCAAGAGGATTATGATAAGAATCATGAGATTAGTTCCCAGCCCAGTGGGGTCTGATATAATACACTGTTTTCTTGGCCACTGCCTAATGAGGAATTGAAATATTTTACCCAGTGATCTTGACCTTCAGATTTAGATAGATGTGGAAATGCCCCAAAATATTATAGGTCATAAACGCTGCACCTCACTGGAAATAAATGAAGGAATTAATACATTTACCTAACCCTGGTTGTATGACATTCTCAGATTTGATTATTTTTCTTAAGTCATTAGATGAGGCCCTGATGTGTTCGACAGACAGAATATATGTAACTATATGTAATAAATAAACATAAAAACAGTACTGACTTATAATGGATATTCCCAGCCCTACCCTGACAAATCCTCCAAGCTTATAGCTTTGGAGTGATTTTTAAGATCTCTAAAATTCTATGATCCTCTCCAGTTCTATGGTTCTTACTCTGAATTGCCTCAGGGCTTACAAATAATACCTGGAGCTCACTCTTATGCATGGCTCTCACAAAATAGGTCAGCTTGACACCATTCTCTGGATGGTTATATGTACATATCTCCTCCAGTAGCTGCCTGCCCCACAAAGCATCTCACGGTATCACTTCTCTGCTCAAAAAACTGCAGTGGCTCCAGATTGCCTATGAAATAAAATACCAATTCCTTTAAGTATAATTTAAAGCCTTCTACAATCAGCTCAAACCTACCTTTCCAGTTTCATTCTATGGACTCTCTTCCATGCAGCCCACGTTTAACTAACATTCAACAATTTCTAGGCCCCGCACTGCGCCACGCATTGTGGTAGGCACTGGAGATATAAAGATATGACACAAGTCCTCCCTTTGGAACCATTTGGGCCCTTTCTCTCCTGTAGCAGTCCTTCTTTAAAGAACAAATATTCTTTGGGAATGATCACTCCTTTGTCATCAGTTAAAGACAGCCTGCCAAGAGGATAGAATGGGCTGACCTAGATGAGAGAGGTGGGAAATACTGATTTCACAGTTTTGCCTGGGCACAGGACTGGGAAAGGGTGGGAAAACAGGTTCCCCACTGACCGCCCTACATTCTCAGAGCATTCAATGCTTATCCAGTTCCTCATTCTTCATCTCAACAGCTACCTACCTAACATTGTCAGGAAGTTGAATTACTCATTCTGTTCCTAACATATTCTAGGAAAGGCAATACCACAGTCCCCTTTCAGGACATTCTAGTTTCTTTAAAACATTTCCATTTGGAAAGCTTTTCCTTGTGTCTAACCTCATTCCTTTGGGTATTGCCATTTAGGCCCATTCCCTCTTAGGCTTATGTAGATAGATATGAAGTCAATCAGTTGGTCAGTCAACAAATATGTATTAAATGCTTACTATGTGCCAGATACTGCACTGGAGATACAAAATAAAGGTAAAACCCATCCCTGCCCTCAAGGGGCTTACATTCAAATAGGTGAATCAATGTGTAGCATAACTAGGTAGATGCAACAGAGTAGATGGAAGGTAATCTGAGAGGGGAAGGCACTGGTAACTGGGAAGATTGAGAAAGTTCTCTTGCTGAAGGTGGAATTCGAGCTGAATCTAAAAGGAAACCAGGAAAGCTAAGAGACATAAGGTAGGGGTAGCAGAGCTTTTTAGGCATGGAGGATAGTCAGTGAAAAGACAGGGAACGTGGAATGGACTGTTGTGTAGGAGAAGCAACAAACAGACAAGTAGAGTAAAGTCTAAGGTGTCTATGCAGAGCTTTACATGACAAAGAGAGGACTTTGTATTGAATTCTGGAGATAATAGGGAACCACAGGAGTTTATTAAGTAGAGGGGGGTTAATATGATCAGACTTGCTCTTTAGAAAAATCACTTTGGCAGCTAAGTGGAGAGCTGACTGGAGTGGGGAGAAATTTGAAGTAGGGAAATGTACTGCAACGTATCTGTTGCACTGAGGGCCTGAACCAGAGGGGTAGCTATGAGAGTGGAGAAAAATGGATGTATACAAGAGGCATTGTAAAGGGAGAAATGACAAGATTTGGTTGAGTGGGAGTGAGAAGTCAAAGATGACTCTGAAGCTGCCATGTTGGGTGGCTGAAAGGATGTGGGTACCTTCAACGGGACATCCCGTTTACAGTGACCAAAAGCTGGTGATGTGAAACCATAGCTGAGGAAAGACTACAGCTAGATAGAGAGACAGACAGATCTGGCAATCATCTGAACCCATGGGAGTGACTGAGATCACCAACTAAGATACAGTAAAGAAAAAAGAAAAGAGAATCCAGGATAATGCCTTGGGGGATTACCTACCACTAGGAGATATGACATGGACAGAGATGAGATATGTGAACAATAGGTGTTCTGCCAAAACATTATTCTGGATCTTCTTTTCGTTTTCCTCTATCCTACCTCAGAATGGAGAAGTAGAAAGGCAGGATGAAGAGAGATCAGACATGTAGGAGGAGAATGAGGAAAGAGTAGTGTCATGAAAACCTGGAAAAAAGAGAGAGAGAATCAAGGAGGGGGTGACCAACAGTGTGAAATGCTGCAGAAAGGTCAAGAAGCATGAGACTGAAGAAGATCTGACAATTATGAGATCACTGGCAACTTAGGAGAGTCTAAATTTTGGTACCATTCTTATTTATCATCTTTTATTCTTTCCATGAAAAGGAAAACAAAACTTCTGAAAGGAGCTATTTTCTAGGATCACAGAATGTCAGAGTTGAAGAGAACCTTAGAGATTATTTTCTCAGTGAGAAAACTGAGGTTTAGAGATGTGAGGTGATTTGCCCAAGGTCACAAAGTAAATTAGAAATTAAATTAAACTCTGAAATGCTAGACTAGTTGTTAACAAAAATCAGGGAGGAAGGGCAGTTGATCTGTAGATGGATTTAGAAAGGGAGCAGCAATGGCTCCAAGGACCCCAACTTCTATCACACTCTGAGGCTACCTTCAGGCAGAGAATAAAAGCAGTGAAAGCCCAAGTTCTTGGCTATCCCTGCTAAATTGATCCTTATAAAATGATTCTGGTCCTGATTCTGTTGATAGGAGGGAAAGTGAGAATCAAATGATACTTCATCGTGGCAGAACAGTTTTGCTTTAAGGGAGTCTGTTAGTATAGTTGCCTGGATGGCTTTCCTTTGTCTCTGTGTTGCATATCTACCTGGAAAAATTAAATGTATTGGGCCATATCATGAGCAGTTTTTTCATCAAAGCAGAAAGCCACACAGTTGTGTAATGGTGGCTCTGTTTCAGAAAGCTGGCAATAGCTGTGTCCTTGACAACACATTCTGTGACCTCTTCTGTTCTCTCAGGTGTGTATTTGCCACAGATCACAGAACTCTTAAAGTCAGAAATCAAAGGACCCCTAACATTAGTGTGCTTTCCATGACACTATGCTGCCCCCAAATACTAAAATGGATGGAGTTAATTTTTTTTATTTTGCCAAAGATTAGGGTTTTCATTCAAATAAATGAATAAATAAATTTAATGATATTTTTAAAAAAATTTTTATCTTTAGGAATGTAAATGTATAGCCTATATCAGATTATATGCCGTCTTGGAGAGGGTGGTGAGGAGGAAGGGGGAGGAAAATTTTAAACTCAAAAGCATATGGAAGTGATTGTTGATAAATCAAAATAAATTAATAAAATTTTAAAAAATTTTATTTTTTATTTTTCAGGTCTGCACCCACACCTCAAGAGCTCGAAATTTTCTGATTTGACAGACTCAAGAGACATGAATTAAGGACCAAGGAATAACGCAGTTTGCTACACCTGCAGCTTGCACTTTTCAAAAAAAATTTTGAACAACACAGCACTTTAGATTTAAACCCACAAAAAATTAACTAAACCCTGGATAATGGCAAAAGCATAGCACTAAACCTCTCCAAATTCTTGTGATACATAGCCTGGTCATGATGTTTCTTAAGTTTATTGATACCAACTGTCACAAAGGTGCTAAATACTGCTGGACAGTCAATAGCAATGGTATCCTGGGTATTGCCCTTTTTGTTCAATTAATGTTTGTTTGGGTTTCTGTACTTTGTATGAAAAGCCTACTGGAAGCACTTCTTGATTACTGGTTGATTTCTCTTCTGGAATGAGTTAGGCTCTGGAGGCCCCTGGTCCCAGTCTGAGGTTCTTTTCTATCACTACTGGATTGAAAGAAGAGAACCATTTCCCCCAAATGTATTGGAAAGAACAGATTTCAAGAAGAAGAGAGAAGAAGAGTTGGCATTTGCTCTTGTATGACTGACAGAAAGCCAAAGAGATTTCCTCTGCTGGGGAAAGGGTAATATTTGGTCTCTCCCCCATAATCTAAGAATTACTTGGATGGTCTAATTCGGGCTAGGGCAGGGAACCAACAAGCACGAGGACACGATGTACATCTAGTAACTACAGACCTCCTGGGAGCCCTCTAAAGGTATTTTACTAAAGAGGAAGTATGGAAATATGCAATAGTCCTATAAACTATATAATAAAATGGACTTAAATTCAAAAATATCTACAGCAACTTGGGTCTATCATTATTCAGTGTTGAAATCACGTATTTATGATTGTAATTTCTCCAAGGACAATTCTCATTTTCCACACAATGCTGAATACTGACTGAAAATATGGAAGTGTTAATGTGGCAGCCATGTCTAATTTGCCCTCAGGGGAGGGTTTGAGTGAAAAGATGAATTCTATTGTAGTCACTTTGAGTTTGAGATGTCTATTCTATAACTCATTCAAAATATCCAAAAGGCAACTGGTGATTTTTGGCCTGGAATTCAAGAGACAGACTAAGACAGGATATGTAGATCTGGAAATCATCTCCACAGAATTGATAACTGAACCCAAGGGTGCTTATGACATCACCAAGTGAGAGAGAAGAGAATGGGGGCCTGAGGTACAGTCTTGATGCATACCTATATAGATGAGTGGTGGATCTGGATGATGACCCAACACAGAAGATTGAAAAGGGTGGTCAGACAAGTCAGAAGAGAATCAGGAGAGAGCAGTGTCACAAAAGCCCAGAGAGAAGAGAGCATCCAGCCAGGAAGACTAGGTAGTCAGCAATATTAGATGGGTAAGAGAGGTCAAGAAGGGTGAGGATTGAGAAAAGAACATTGCTTTGGACAAAGTTGTGACAAGGTTGAAGGCCCGATTGCAAAGAAGTAGAGGAAATGGAAGTAATGACCATTAGATAGAGATTTCTAGGAGTTTGACTAAGAAAAGGAGGAAAGATATAAGATGATATCTTGAAGGGATGATAGGGTCTAGAAGAGTTATTTGTTTGTTGTTTGTAGTTGCTTTGAGGCTGGAGATACACAGGCTGGAGATATGGTTTGTTTGGGGTAATATTTGTAGGCAGTGAGGAAGGAACCAATTAAGAAGGAGAAACTGAAGATTACTGAGAGACAGGATGATTGTGGGTTCAATCTGCTGAAGAAGACAGAAGAGGAGGGGACCAAGGGAACATTTAGAGGAGTCAGTCTTAGTGAGGAGAAGAGTCACTTTGTCATCAAAGGCTGGACTAAAGGAGCAGAAAATAGGGAATTGTCACAGGATTGTGGGATAGAGAGAACAGGAGAACAGGGACCTCACTGTAAGGGTAGTTGGAGAGGCTGTCTTTCAGGGAATTTCCACAAGCCCGCCTGGGACAACAGAGCTACACAAGCATTTATCATCATTTTACAAATGAGCAAACTAAAACATACAGTGTTTAAATGACTTGTCCTCTGTTGCATAGCTAGTAAGTATTAAAAGGCCATATATGAACCTGGGTCCTCCACTGGTAAAAGCCATATATATTTATATATATACGTGTGTGTGTGTGTGTGTGTGTGTGTGTGTGTGTGTGTGTGCCCCTATTATATATATGTGTGTGTTTACCAAGAAACAATAAAACAAAGTCAAAAGAATGAAAAAAGAAAACAATGTGAAATATCTCATAAGAAAAACAAATGACCTGGAAAATAGACAGAGGAGAGGTGATTTAAGAATTTCTGGACTACCTGAAAGCCATGATCCCAAAAAAGGGCCTAAACATCATATTTCAAGAAATTATCAAGGAAAACTGGCCAATATCTTGGATCTAGAAGATACAACAGAAATTGAAAAAATCCATCAATCACCTCCTGAAAGAGATCCCAATATGAAAACTCCTAAGATAGACAAATAAATTCCAGAGCTCTGAGGTCAAGAAGAAAATATCAACAAGCAGCCAGAAAGAACAATTCAAATATCATGGAGATACAGTCAAGATCATACAATATTTAACACCTTCCACATTAAAGGAGCAGAGGGCTTGGAATATGATATTCTGGAAGGCAAAGAAGCTAGGACTATAACCAAGAATAACCTACCCAACAAAACTGAGCATAATCCTTCAGAGGAAAAAATAGATATTTAATGAAATAGAAGACTTTCAAGGATTCCTGATGAAAAGATCAGAGCTTGATAGAAAACCTGACATTCAAACAAAAGGCTCAAGAGAAGCATAAAAAGGTAAACATGAAAGAGAAATCATTCCTATATGGGAAGATGATACATGTAATTCCTAAGAACTTTATCATTATTAGGTCAATTAGAAGGCTACTTAGAAGGCATGGGTGTGAGTGAATTATGTTGGGATGATCTCAAAAATAAAAGGAGTGAGAAAGAGGAATGCACTGGAAGGAGGAAGGGAGGGGAAGAATGGGGGAAATTATCTCACATAGAAGAGGAATGCAAGGAAGAGTTTTTATAGTGGAAGAGGAAATTGAAGGAAGGGCAATGCTTTAACTTTACACTTGTCAGAATCGGTTCAAAGAGGAAGAATATAAATATATAAATATTCAATTGGACATAGAAATCTATCTTATTCAACAGAGAAATGGGAAAGGGAGGAAATACAGTGAAAAAATACAGTGATAAAAAAGAGAGTGAATTAAAGGAAGCAGTGGTCAGACACAAAACAATGAAGAGAGACAGGGTAAAAAGAGGGAAGATATACAGAAGAAAATAGCATGAAGGGATATATACAGTTAGCAATCATAACTATGAATATGAACGGGATGAACTCACCTTTAAAACAGAAGTGGATCGCAGAACGTATTAGGAACCAGAATCCAACAACATGTTTACAAGAGACTGAGTTGAAACTGAAAGACATACACACAGAGTTAAAATAAAGGGCTGAAGTAGAATCTATTATGCTTCAGCTGAAGTAAAAAAAAAAAGGCATGGGTAGCAATCATGATCTGAGACAAAGCAAAAGCAAAAATTGACCTGACTTTAAAAGATAATCAGGGAAATCATATTTTACTAAAAAGGTACCATAGATGATGAGGTAATATGAAAAAATTTTATAGTAGGTTTCTCTGATAAATTCTTCATTCCTCAAATATACAGGGAAATGAGTCAAATTTATAAAAATAAGAGCCATTCCTCAATTGATAAATGGTCAAAGGATATGAACAGGCAGTTTTCAGAAGAAGAAATCAAAGTTATCTATAGTCATAATAAAAAATGTCTAAATCATTATTGATTAGAATAATGCAAATTAAAATAACTCTGAAGTACCATTTCATACCTATCATATTGGCTAATATGACAGAAAAGGAAAATGACAAATGCTAACGTTGAAAAATAGGGACACTAATGCATTGTTGGTGGAGTTATGAACTAGTCTAGCCATTCTGGAGAATAATTTGGAACTATGCCCAAACGGCTACAAAACTGTGCATACCCTTTGTGCATACCAACACGAGGCCTGTATTCCAAAGAGATGAAAAAGAAAAAGAAAAGGACCTATATGTACAAAAATATTTGTAGCAGCTCTTTTTGTGCTGGCAAAGAATTGGAAATTAAGGAGATGTGAATCAACTGGGAATGGATTGAACAAGTTGTGGTATATGATTGTGATGAGACACTGTTGTGTTATAAGAAATGACGAGGAAAAATGGGAAGTCCTATATGAAGTGATATAGAGTGAAGTGAGTAGAATCAGTAGATCATTGTACACAGTAACAGCAATATTTTAATGATGCTCAACTGTGAAAGACTTAGCTACTCTGATCAATACAATGATCCAAGATAATTCCCAAAGACTCCTGAAGAAAAATGCTAGCCACCTCCATGGAGAGAACTGATGAACTCTGAGTACAGATTGAAGTATAATTTTTTTCATTTTTTTTGCTCTTTTTTTTTTTTTGCAACATGGCTAATATGGAAATATGTTTAGTATGATTTCACATGTATACTTGATATCATATTGCTTGCCTTCTTAATGGGTGAAGGAGGAAAGGAGAGAATTGAAACTCAAACATTTTTAAATATTAAAAATAAATATTTTTTTAAATTGAGTCAGAGCAGGAAATGTTTAGTTTTGTATTTATATCCCCAGCAACCTAGCACAGTACCTGGCACATAATCAGGCCTTAATGAATGTTTGTCAAATGAATGAATGAAATAATGTATGTAAAGTGCTTTGTATACCTTTATACCTGTAAATAAATGCCAGCCATTCTAAAAAGAAGGAGGAGGAGGAGGAGAAGGAAAAAAGAAAAGAAAAAAGAAAAATATTTGTTCATATCCTTTAACTACTTACATCTATTTGGGAATGTCTCTTGATCCACAAAAAAGCCTCCAATACATTCATATATTCTAATTTTTTCATCTAATCATTCATCATTTTCAATTTTGTTCTAAAGATCTTCTTTCTGGGACTGCATATAATTAAAGATCAGAAAACTATATCCCTCTCTATCACCACGCCTAAATATAAAGCTTTGACACCTCCGCTTGGCCCCTAGTTAGCTTCTTTTAATTAATTAATTAATATTTAGTTTTCAACATTCACTTCCATAAGCTTTTGAGTTTTAATTTTTTCCACTTCCTTCCCTTCTCCCCTCCCCAAGACAGCATGCAGTCTGATACAGGCTCCATATACACATTCTTATTAAATGTATTTTCACATGAGTCATGATGTAAAGAAGAATTAGAATGAATGGGAAGAACCATGAAAAAGAAAAAGCAAAACAAAACAAAAAGGAGAGCAAATAGTTTGCTTGGATCTGCATTCAAGCTCCACAGTTCTTTCTCTGGATGTAGATAGCATTTTCCATCATGAGTCTTTTGGAGTTGTCTTAGATCCTTGCATTTCTAAGAAGAGCTAAGTCTATCAAAGTTAGTCGTCTCAGTGTGGATGTTACTGTGTACAATATTCTCCTGGTTCTGCTCCCTAGTTAGTTTTTAAAAAGTGATAAAGGTTGTCTCAGTCTGCTTTTGATTCATATTGAAAAGTACTCCCTAAAAGTATATTAGAGTTGGTCTAGTCTCATGTGCTACGGTGAGAACAGACAGTTCAAGAAAAATCATTAGCCCTGCTGGATCCAAATCTTCAAACACTGACATTTTTCAATGGTAACAGTTCTGAATGGGCCTTAGTTCCTTTATGCATAGAATGTGGGTATTGGACTAGCTGATCTCTAATTACTCTTTCAGCTCTACATGCAGTTCCTTTCAAGCCAACAAACATTTATTACTGTCTCCTACGTGCAAGACACCCTGTTAGGCACCACTGATGACACAAAGATGAAAAAATGACACAGTGCCTTCCATCAAGGAAATCAGTGTAAGAGGAGAGGCATATGAAATATATACAAATATATATGACAAGATAGAATACAATAAGACTAAAATTAACTCAAATTTCTTTCTTTAAAGAAATTTGAAGGGGCAGCTAGGTGGTGCAATGGATAGAGCACTGGCCCTGAATTCAGGAGGACCTGAGTTCAAATCCAGCCTCAGACACATAACACTTACTAGCTGTGTGACCCTGGGCAAGTCACTTAACCCCATTGCCTAGCCAAAAAAAAAAAAAAGAAGAAGAAATTTGAAGAGTAAAAGTAACCTTCACTTTAGGGGTGGGAAAAGTGGGGCAGGAGGATAGTCAGGGATGGCTTTTGTGCCTTGCAAACAGGCTGAGTGCACAAAAAAAGGACTATACAAACATAGAGGAAGCAGGTTCCCACTTTCATCTGAGCTAGACAAAGGACAGTTAAAAACACAGAGAGAGATTAGTGTAGGAAAACATTAACCTCAACTAGGAAAAAGATATGAACAGGAAGAGGGAAGGGAGAGTTTAAGAAATAAGGAAGGAATTAGTAACAAGCAAAACAAATTCCATTTTTGGAGGGTGAAATTGTGAAGGTGGGATTAAAGAGAAATGAAGGAAGGAAGGAAGGAAGGAAGGAAGGAAGGAAGGAAGGAAGGAAGGAAGGAAGGAAGGAAGGAAGGAAGGAAGGAAGGAAGGAAGGAAGGAAGAAAAATAAAAGTCATTCCACTCAGTGCACTGGTTGAGGCAGGGGTGTTAGAATACTCCTTGCTCCCCACCGCCAGTGCCAGGTTCTCCCCCTACCTCCATCACTCAGTAACCTCTCTTCCTTTGAGGTTTGTCCTATTCATATCTACCACCCAATCAAAATCCTGGTAGCCGCTGTCTATAGACTACCCCACCCCCACGTCACTCTCTTTCTTTATTTAATGAGTTTGTTAGCTGGCTCACAACTTTTCTCTCCTCCCCAATTCCTGCCCTCATACTAGGGAACTTCCAACATACATTTTTTTTTTTCTTTTTTGGTCAGGCAATCAGGGTTAAGTGACTTGCCCAGGGTCACTACACAGCTAGTAAAAGTCATGTGTCTGAGGCCAGATATGAACTCAGGTCCTCTTGACTCCAGGGACGGTGCTCTATCCACTGCACCACCTAGCTGCCTCCCAACATATATATTGATTCTCCTTCAAACACCCTAACCATTCATTTGCTCTGAGAACCTACACCTTCTCATCTGCTATTTCTGTAACCTACCTCAGCCAAATACACACAAAAAAATGGCCATATCTTTGATCTTGTCATCACCCATAAATGTGCCATCTCTATATTCAAGAATTCCAAAATCCCTTTATCCAACCATAATCTATTGGCTTTTCACCTCTCTCTCTGCCTTCTCTTACAAAACCTACTATTCATTTATACCATGATCTCCAATCTCTTGGCTCTCTCCTAGGCCATCTCATCTGCACTAACCACTCTCTCTTTTTTTCCCCATCTTGAACCCTTGGTCAATCAATTCAACTCTAATAAGTTATATACCTTGACCTGCTTGTCTCCTACTAAAGAATGGAATTTCTGCTTGTTAACACAGGTCTAGGTATTCAGTGACTCTTTATATTAATACAGCCAGCCAAAGAATAGCTATGAAATGGTAAACAATGAATCAGGGCAGAGCATAATAATGCAAAGAAAATACTATCAGAACCCATTCCTGAACTGGAATGGGATCCTGTTCCCCTCCCCCCATTAGTAATCTGGGAGACAAGGTCCTTCAAAAGACTCAGAGCTCTTCCACATGGATGCCTACATCGTGGGTGATCTGGGCATGCTACAAAGCACACATGAACACATATAGAGTGAAGTGAAAAGAACCAGAAAAATTTATACTGCATCAGCAACCCTATAACAATTTTGAAAGACTTAAGAATTCTGATGAATGCGATGACTAGCCCTGACTCCAAAAGACTAACAAAGCACGCTACTCACTTCCTAAGAGCAGAGTGATGGATTTGAGATAGATTGATAGATAGATAGACAGACAGACAGATATTTTGGGCATAACAAATATATGGATTTGTTTTACTTGACTATGCTTATTTGTTACAAGGACTGTTTTTTATTTGAGGTGTGGGGGATGAGAGGGGAAATTAGCAAATATGTAAATTTGTAGTGAAATGAAATACATTTTTAAATAATTTTTTAAAGAACTCAGCAGAATCTCTAGTAAGTTAGCATACTCTGTCAGGGCCTGTTATTTCACTTTGCCTTCACTTAATGTCTGACCTACAAAGAGTATCAAACAAATTCTCAATGGATTTGCATACTTGGCAGATTCTTCAGTCTTCATACCCTCTGTTTCCATCTTATTTTAGGTTGTAGTTACTCTCCATCCGGTGTTTTGAAAGGGAAGTGAAGAGAAACCAAAATACCAACTCTACACTATCCTCTCTGGAATCCTTGCCACCTCATCATATTACTGATTATGTCCAGCCAAGCCTCAGCCTTACATCACTTCCACCGTTTGCCACTTACACTTCTATATACAGGCTTCTGAACGAAGATGAAGAAAACACACAATTGTTATGACTTGGTCAACTACAAATTTATGTGACACAACCTCAACTGAGACCCCATTGTTGCTAGGCAATGCCACTATACCTCCCTTATCAATTCACTATCCCACTCTCCATAGCTGCTTTTCCAAATCTTTTCATCTCTGTTCAAATCCCCCATGGCTCAGGCTTCAGTAAGCGGAAGTTTGCAAAAGGACAAGGCTTGATTCATCAGCAAGTTTTGAATTTGCCTGTGTACTCCACGCATGGCTTGGTTGTGACAAAGTGTATGAGAAGCATGTGACCTTGAGCAGCTGCTAGTCAGGTTCTGGTCATCATCTGTGTGAGCTGGTCTTGTGAGCTCTTTGCCTTCATCAGTTTAAATCGAAATATTTTCACGTGTGCAAATTTCCAGACAGCAAGAAATTTTTATGAGGTTTGTTTTGGTTTTTTTTAACTTAGCAAAACACTTCTGGGGAATCTACACGTGAAAAGGGAAAAAAAAGTTTTTGAATGGCAAGAACAGAATAGTTCGTTGTACAAGGGCTGGTAGGCACTGGAGTGTAACACTTGAAAGTTTTGTGGTACTATAGCTACTCCTTGTCTCTCAAGAGGTAGTAGTGAGGAGATACTCTGTAAACCTGGAGAGCAAGCAGAGAGTTTAGTAATGCCTTTCTCTTCAATCCCTCCTCAGATGAAGGTAGATGGAATATATGAGATAAAAGAAGAGTAAAAGGTAAAAGGAATCCTCTTCACTATTATAATGCTTCTTCCACATATTTCAAATAGCAACAAAAGAGAAAATAAGAGCTTTTCCTCCCAAAAGAAGATATTCCACAAATATCAGTTCCCCCATCCCAAAAATATTTATTAGTTTCCTACTATGTGTAACTATGTATTATAGAGGGTACAAATGTAGCTTTCCTTTCCAGAGTCACCCTGGAGAGGAAATATTTTCAAAATTCTACCAACCACAGACATGGAACTGGAGCTATCGTGGATTCTTTGCAAGGAAGACATAGAGAGGAAGACAGATCAAAAGGAAGAAGCCACACATAACCTAGCCCCAACCTGTCTTCCAGCCTCACTGGACATGGCTCCTCCTCCTACAGTTTGCAATCCAGCCAAACAATGTCTTCTCTCTGTTCTTCATTCATACAACACTCCATATCCAGGCTCTCTTCCTTTGTACTGACCACACCACATACCTGCAATATACTCTCCTCACCTTTGCCTTACAGTGTCACTCTTTCCCTTTAAGTCTCAGCTCAAGCACCACCTTCTTCATGAAGCGTTTCCTGACTCCCTCAACTGCTAGTGCCCTCCTTCCCAAACTACCTTGTATTAATCTACTTTGTATATATTTGTATTTATTCACTTTATATTTTGGCCAGCAACTCTGAGGGTCTTCCCCTCCTGTTTGTTTTTTTTTTCAAAATTAAAAGGGCCATCCTTTGACTCACTTCTTAAAGAGGCCTATTCACTGAATGGGTGTTGCTTCACTTAAAATGAGAACCTGGAAAGACCTTAGCTTAAAAGGGCCAAGGTCTCCCACTGCATTCTGGGCCATTTCCAGTCATCTGGATTGATATCGGGCTACTGGATCCAGATAGCTCTGGAGGATAAAGTGAGGCTGGTGACTTTGCACAGCCCTCCCGTCACTCAAATCAAAGTCAACTGCAAGTCACATCATGATCTCCCTGATGTCATGGTCCTCTTTGAGAATGAAGAACAAACCATACAACCACAACCACAATTGATATTGTACATATTTATGTAAGTACATATTGTCTCTCTCATCAGAATATACAATCCTCATAAAATATAGACTGATCCATTTTTTGGTACTTTTATCTCCAGTCACTAGCACAGTGTCTGGCATATTAACAGGTGCTTAGTAAACACTTGTTGATTGATTCATTGATTGAAGATGAAGGGATAACAAGCAGACAGCTCAAGTGTTAAATTAAAATAATGCTGAGAAAAGCCTCCAGGATAATGATTGGGCCTTCTATGGAAGACTATGGAAGGACATGAATCAAAGCCATTGTAGAATCAGAAGTTTTAAACTGGTTAGGATCTGAATTCTTGGAGGAAGGACCTACATCAAGAATTCAAAGATACACTGAAATATTTAAGTAATTAATAACTCACATTTCTATTAGTACTTGAAAAGTGAGGTTAATATTGTTTTAGTATAAACCTACCAGGGCTGCATGCCTACATTAGCAGAGTTTTCTCATCTGAGAGTTCCCTCTATTGATGTTGAGGGCAGGGATTGTCTTTTGTCTCTTTTTGTATACTCCACCCCTCAACACAGTGCCTGGCACATAGCAGGTGCTGAATAAATGTTTGTTGATTAATTGATGAAATAATATATCTAGTCCCCATCATCTATACAGCAATGGAAAATAAGTTGTGTTGTTCAGTTGTTTTCAGTCCTGTCTAAGTCTTCACGACCCTATTTAGGGTTTTCTTGGCAAAGACACTGGAATGGTTTGCTATTTCCTTCTACAGCTCATTTTATAGATGAGGAAACTAAGGCAACAGGGTTAAGTGACTTGCCTAGGGTCACACAACTAGTTAAGTGTCTGAGGCTAGATTTGAACTTGGGTCTTCCTGACTCCAGGCCTGGTACTCAAACCACTGTGCTACACGGCCTAATATAAAATAAAGGAAACACTAAAAAGCAACCAAACTCAGGTGAAATGGAGTGGATAATGCTGCTACCAAATTTATTAAAGTTAAAGCACACATCATGTCTTTCTGTTAACAAATGTTAAACTACAAAAAATGGAAAGCAATATGTGCTATCAATAATAATTGCTCTATTAGATGGTTTCACTGAACTGTTTTAAGGGGATGTCCTTTGTGGGGGACTTTTCCTGGGAATATAGAATCATAGATTTAGACTCAGCAGAGATCTTAGAAGCTATAAAGTCAACCTCTTCATTTTACAGATGAGGTAACTGAGCCACAGAGTTCAAGCAGCCTACCCAGGATCACAGAGAACTAGTAGGTTGTATATATGTTGTATCTGAGCTGGAATTTAAACCTAGGTCTTCAGGAGTCCAGGTTCAGTGCTCTATCCAATACAACACACTCACTGTCAGCTGTTCCAAAACGATAGTAATGACAGTCTGACCTATGGAAATAGCAGTGAAAATGGGTAAGAAAGGAGAGATTTGAGAAACATTATATGACTGAGTGGATTTTAGTATGACTCTGAGGTTTCGATCTTGGTTAACTGGAAGCACGGATGACATTGTTGATAGAAATAGGGAAGTCAAGACTGGGAACTAGTTTTGGGGGAGTTCAGTTTTGAATACTAATTTGAAGTGATACTGGAAAATCCAAATGTTAACGTTCAGTAAAGAGCTGAAGATATATGACTTGACATTGGGAGAAAGCAAGCTTTGGATGAACACAGTTGGTTTAGTTTGAGGAGAAATTTGATTTTTAAAAGTTATTTTAATGCCAACTATTTGTAAACCATCCTACTATGTTATAGAGATACAAGAATAGATAAGATAATCAATCCTTGCCCTCAAAAATCTTATAGTATGAAGGATAAAACAATGACACAAATCATTACAAAACAAATTATAATGTTCTAAACATATAGGAAGGGCAGCTATGCAGATAGAGTGCTGGGCCTGAAGTCAGGACAACTCATCTTGATGAGTTCAAATCTGGCCTCAGACATTTACTAGCTGTGTGACCTTGGGTAAGTCACTTAGCTCTGCCTCAGTTTCCTCATCTGTAAAATGAGCTGGAGAAGGAAATGGCAAAGCATTCCAGTATCTCTCCCATAAAAATCTCAAATGGGGTCATGAAACATTGAATATGACTGGACAACAATAAAAATGTATAGGAAAGTTCTAAAGTTTTATGACAGATTTGAAAATGGAAAGATTCCCTTGAGCTAAGCTGATCAGGGAAGGCTTCTTAAAGAAAGATGGTATCTGAGTTGAGTCTGGAAGTTGGAACGCATTTCAATATGTAAGCAACGGGGAGAGAAGCAAAAGGAATGGAATCCAGATACTGGGACATTGTTAAAAAAAAAAAGGCATACAGGGAGCACAGTTTGGCTGAAACAGAGACCATATGAAAAGGGGTTGTGAAAAATAAGGTTAAAGCTAGATTATGGAGTATCCTGAATGTGAAATGAAGGTTTTATTTAACAGAGAGTGGAGGTGAGGGGAGAGATATCTTTTTGAGCAAAGAAATGACATGGTCAGACCTATGTATTGGAAAGACTAATCTGGCAGTGATGTATAGGATGGGATGGAGTAAAAATGAGACTGGAAGCAGAGAGACCAGTTAGGAGGCTCTAATAGTGAGAGTTTAAAAGGATCCAAAATAAGGTAATAAGAATCAGATAGAAAGGAAAAGATAAATTTGATAGATATTCCAGAAGAAGTGACAGAATTTGGCAACTGATTTGCTATGGGAGGTGAGGGAAAAGAAGGTATCAGTGATGGCTCCTAGAAGTACGGACTGTCTAGACTGGCAATGACCTTAGAAGTCACTGAGTCCAACCCAGGCCTACCCAAGAATCCTTCCTATTGTGTCCCCAGCAAGTGATCATTCAGACATGTCTTCATGACCTCAAGTGAGGGAGAACTCACTATCTCCTAAGGTAACCCATTCCACATTAGGGTAACTATTGGTAGGAAATATTTCCTTACATTAAGCCTACGTTTGCTGTTCTACATCTTGGACCTACTGCTTCTAGTTTTGTCCCTAGTTCAAGCAAAACAAGTCTAATTGTCTTCCAACGATAGAACTGATGCCAGAGAATGAGTCAGAAAAGGAGTGATTAGGTTTGTAGTACCTTCCTCATGTGGTGGTTTTGAGGGTAAAATGAGATGAAATACTCTGAAAGACTTTAGCCTTATCAATGCAAAGACAAACCACAAGTCCAGAAGCCTGAAGATGAAATATACCAATCCCATCCTTCAAGAGAGGTGATGAACTTAAACTCAGACAGAGATATTCTGGAGCATGGTCAAATGTGGAAATTCATTTTTCTGTATTATGCATATTTATGATGAGAGTTTAATTTTTTGTTGTTGTTGTTCAATGGAGGGGGCAGTAGAAGAGACAGATTATAAATGAATACATTTTAAAATAAAATTTAAAAACAATTGAGATGATGTATGTGAAACTTTGTAAACCTTAAAACACTACTAATTTCAACACTTATGTTTATCAGTATATGGCAGGAGAATAGAAGCTCAGGGTAGAGTTCCAAGAAGCAGGGCCATATTAAATGCGGCAAAGGAGCTATAGATTGAAGTCTGAGAAAAGACCCTGGGTTGGCTAATCAGGAAATCCTGTATGACCTTTGGGGGAGCGGCTTGAACAGGATAGTGAAAACAGAAGCAAAATCTGGGGCACTGAGCTGAACTAAGGAAACCCAAGTAGCATCTATAACACTGAAAGCTGAAACCTGGTTTACTTATGATGCCGCCTGTGCTACACTTACATTTAAATAGAGATTTCTTAGTACAGGAATGCACAAAGTAAAAGGCTTAGTGCTGAATTAGGGGAACGTGATATAACTATATGCTAGTACTAGAAGAAAGCTCTGATTAGCATTTAAATTTGTTTTCTGGAGTCTCAATGTAGGGCCTGATTTTAAAGTCAAATAAGGCATTTTTGTTATCATCTCTACCACAAATATTTTCAGATGGTTCACTGTTAATCTAGAAGGTATTTCGTCATTGAATACCTTATCATATCAGGAAGAATTAATTGCCTTCTTTCATGGAGCTTCAGATTGCAAAGTCTTCTTGTAGTGCTTCTTCCCCAACTCAGCAGTTTGGGAAACAATATATTTCACTTTTGCTCTTCAGTTTCATGCACTTCCAACTTATTTATGCAAAACTAACTTCTGGATTACCCCTATTTTTTAAGTGCCAGTTAAGATAGCATTGCTTCCCATATCTATCTAGACTAGCTCTTCCCCACCCTCCCCTATTAATCAGATTGCCCTACAAATAAGGAGGGGAAGGTAGTATGAATCGAGAGATTCTGTAAATATTTTATACGATTTAAGCTGTGGATTTATCTACTGAGTTT